CTGTTATAAGGTTTTTATGGTTCTGCTCGTTTCACTGCTTTTTGAGCAGAAATATTTTTCGAGGATTATCCGCCAAGGGCTATCCCCTCCCCTCTCCCCCCCCCCCACCTCCCCATTCCTTATACCGCATGCCGTGGTTGGCTAACACCCTCTCTCTTTGTATTGGCCGGTGTTCTCACTGTGCAATGAGATGCTGTAATAAAGATATAAATAAATACCCGTAAAGCCGACTGCCCAGCAAACTCGACACAATGTAACATTCTCACTGGACTTGCGCATCCTGTAATATGAACTGGTACAGGGCCCAAGCTGGACTCTCTCATACGGATTGCGTTGAGCAGCATTAAAGTAGCTGTTTGTATACTAGCAATATGTACACTCATGTACATGTATGTTTGACAAACAAGTTCGGAATCCAATTTGAAATCACAATGCCGAGGTTCATTCATTCATATGACTGCATATTTATGTGACAGATCCTGCTAAATCATGATAGGGTTAGTTTTCTGGAAGTGTGGGTGGGAACCAGGCCCAATAATGAGGGGAGACAGGCGCATGGCCTCTTTGGCACCCACTGGGCCTCTAGGCTGCACATTTGTTGTTGACGCATTAGCGCCTGTCAGGCAGGTGGTTGCGCGTCTCAGTATTCGTCCTGAGGTTTGCGCCAAATCCTCGCACATTATCGCTCTTCAGGTATTGTAAAATTGCAGGCGACGTCTCACTAGAGGCCCAGTTGCATCTCGCTGCATTCTAAGGAGTCATACATGTGTGTCGCCAGCTAGTCAACCTGGTCTAATTGTGATCATCTTCTGGGGACATACATGTACTGGCACTGTAGGTCAAGCAGTATTCGGAGCTGTACGAATTCTACAGCGATTATCAAAGCAGCACGACAACAGCAATGAAACTGGACGATGGCTATCCGAAGATTGGTGGAAGCTTTTCTACTGACTATTACCTCAACAAGAAATATCAGGCAAGTACTGCATGTATGGTAGTGAAAACCTTCAGTGTCAAGCACCCACGATATGCCATACAGTGAAACCTGTGCTTTTAAAAGCGTTTTCATAAATTGGGCTGGTTCACGATGACAAACTTTTGCGATTCTTTCTCTTCAGTCAGATCTTGTACTGTCTACAATCAATGTACGGAAGCGTTTGCAGTGATTTATATTCGCGAACGTGCAATGGTGGCGGAAATAGCGAAATTTAATCTCTAGCGAAAGTTTATCACTTTACACCAGTAAGGGCATATTAATGGATGCCTTTTGTAATCACCGATTTTTGTGCCCTTGTCAAATGCATGGTGGTACAGATTCAGTTCCAGTCGGTGACAGTGCGAACGGAGATTCGTCGGGAGTTCTATCAGATCAAGGTGAAGCCGGACGCGACACTCTCCACTGAGCTCAAGTACCGGCTGCAGATCGTCGGTGATATGATCCACAGCAACAGAACCGAAGCTGCCAAGTACGAGATCTTATTGATTATCAGAGATTTTGGAACCCACATGCTCGGGGAGGTCACGGCCGGTGGCATTTTTCAGCAAGAAGACCAGGTGCGTGCAATATATCTGCGCCCAATGTTCTCCTCTGCTCGCACAATAAAGTGTGGGGAGGGGGGGGGGGGGTGAAGATCTGACAATTATGGCTAAGTTCATGAAAACGCCTCCCACATAAGTAAGATAAACTGTCTTGCAAGCTTCCAATTCACAATACCTCTGGCGGACATTTTCTTCATCACAGTTAAATATAGCTTTGGTTGTTGATAACGGGGATGTTTGATCCTCTTCTTCACAGGTTACGACTGAATACGCCAAGAGGTTTGCAAAGACTACTGCTAATGCCAGGGCGTTTTCTGCGGCAAAGTTCCTCAACAAGCTCGGGTTCAATTTTCCATATTCTTTCACTGGAAAGCAACAGGAGGCCTTTTTGGACAGTGTCACTCAGTCCACGATTAGGTGAGCTTCAGGGTTTCTCATCTGAAATACGGTCAGTTTAAAAGTGTCAGGTATACGCTACCAAGGTAGGTATACGCTACCAAGGTAGGTATACGCTACCAAGGTAGGTATACGCTACCAAGGTAGGTATACGCTACCAAGGTAGGTATACGCTACCAAGGTAGGTATACGCTACCAAGGTAGGTATACGCTACCAAGGTAGGTATACGCTACCAAGGTAGGTATACGCTACCAAGGTAGGTATACGCTACCAAGGTAGGTATACGCTACCAAGGTAGGTATACGCTACCAAGGTAGGTATACGCTACCAAGGTAGGTATACGCTACCAAGGTAGGTATACGCTACCAAGGTAGGTATACGCTACCAAGGTAGGTATACGCTACCAAGGTAGGTATACGCTACCAAGGTAGGTATACGCTACCAAGGTCAGAAATAAAGGTTGTGCTGCCCAAGCCCAGCTAGAGATTGCACTGAGCATTTTTCTCTGGTTGGTGGATCTGATTTATCCCCCCCCCCCCATGAATTCTGATCATGAGATGGTGTTGTTGTTGTTGTTGTTGTTGTTGTTGTTGTTGTTGTTGTTGTTGTTGTTGTTGTTGTTGTTGTTGTTGTTGTTGTTGCTGTTGTTGTTGTTGTTGTTGTTGTTGTTGTTGTTGTTGTTGTTGTTGTTGCTGCTGCTGCTGTTGTTGTTGTTGTTGTTGTTGTTGTTGTTGTTGTTGTTGTTGTTGTGTTTATTTTAATTCGCAAGCCAAACGGGCAGATCTGCCCAATGAAAAGGTGGCGAATGCAGATAGAAAGCAGTTAAATAAATGAAACTGGGGAGGGATGTAATAAGGATAGAGGTGGAGAACAGCTAAGCCAGCTGATCATCAAACAGGACGTTTGGTACTCTAGGTACTAAGGGTGTGCGGGATCATGCTGTGCAACAATGTGACCACGAGTGCTGCATCACAGCTGTTACGCGCCAGCTTACAGTTCGGCTTCGGCCTGTCAGCGCAATGTGCGCGCCCAATTCATGTATAAAACAAATAACCTTCTAGTTGTAAGAACAATGTCCAATCCAACAACACCGTTACGTCCTTCTGTGCGTGCTGAACAGTTACACTTACACGCGGTGCCCCGCGGAAGCTGAAAGGTGGTTCTTGACCCTCCCTGTACGCGAACCCGTGAACCTTTTTTTGCAAGTATTCTTCAAAATATTAATTATCCCAAACAATATTCATCACGATTCATGAGTATTTCTGAAAACATTGTTTCCATATTGTGGAGATTGACAGAGGGAATACCGAGCCTTGTTTATGCGTATTCTGGAAACGTTCCCATCTCCAAAGCAGTGCTTCTCGATGGGTGTTCAGCTGAATGAGGAGAAAAGGGCACACACATCCATGTATATCAGGATTAGGCTTCATCACTGCCCCAGCCCGTTAAACATCAAGACAACCTGGGATTTGCAATGCAGCACGTCTTCTTGACAGGGTATCACTCGTCTCGCTGCTGGCCAATGGAAAGCAAACGGACAGCCAGTTCAGATAAAATGTCCTGGAACGGAGACTGCAACGGAGACATTTGATCTCATACGTGCTCACGACCGTTGCCATTCAGGAAGCCGATATTTTTTGTGACTTATTTTATTTCCCAAATCCAAACGGGAATTTCTTCCCAATAACAAGGTAGCGAAGGTTTGACTACCAACTTCATGTATGTCCTGTGCTATTTTTGTTTTCATGCGATTCAGGACATTCGGCGGAAAGTCGTATGTGCCAGGCATGAGAGTTCCTGATTGGGAGGCTAATCTTAACAGCTCTCTCGTAGCTGTAGCGCGCCGAGCAGAGCCTCTCGAGTACGTGATAACCCCGCATACCGTTCCGGAACTACCAGCGCCGACTGTCAGGCAGGTGAGTGCGCGAGAAAGCCAAATAAAAAATAATGTAGTTGCATGCCTTTCCTGGTCCCTCCGTTTCCCGCACCCCATCCACATCCACCCCAACGTGACAGCAGCGATGTTCCTTGTCTGCCTGTCTGTCTCCATCTATCTCTGTCGCTGTCTCTGTCTGTCTGTCTTTCTCTATCTATATCTGTCGCTGTCTCTGTCTCTGTCTTTCAGTCTCCCTCTCTGTCTCTGTCTCTCAGTATCTACCTTTCCGAAATACTCCTGTTTAGAGTTGCAGACGTGGCTGTACTATTCTTTTCGTTACGTCTTTCTCCAGATTTCTGATTTATTGGCAGCGGCTTCCAAGGAATATTTTGCCATAAACACGAATGCGGGATGCACAGATATCAATTCGGCTAATTTCAACTTCCAGGTCAGTGTTCACCAAAGTGTTGATCAGGTACACTCGTGAAGTACGAGTGAAATGTTTCCTACCTCTTCACATGCCAATGGCGTGTTGACAGCTAAACCGGAATTGCATTCTGAGTCGATCTGTACTGTCATGGTTCATGAACGTGGGCAGAGCACACAAGGTCAGCACCACTAGTGCAATGGGTGGGGTGGGGGGGGGGGGGGGGGGCGGGGGTACAGGCGTAGCCATACCAGTTCTACCAAACCAAGTATTTATGAAATGTCACTGACTGCGTGCAATTGATTACCAGTATGTGGGAGTGATCGTGAGCGATGATCCTCGTACACTTGTCCATTGAGAACTATTGTATATGTGTCACAAGAGGAATGTCTAGCTGAAACAAACAATTATGATGCATAGCGCTACTAGAAATTTATCTTGCCATGATGCTGATATTGGCCATGGGGGAATGGTCGGCCCTGCAGCCATGCTCGAACCGTACCTCCCGTCAGAAGCTGGCTCAGTGCCGAAGAAAAATCAATGAACGTTTTGCTTCCGTTCTTCGTGCAGGCTAACGTTGGAGACCAGTCGGTGTGTAAACCCGTCGCACACGATTTTGGCCTTGGCGGCGTTTACCAGACTTGCACATCTCGTGATCCGGCTGCCTGCGGGGGCATTACACAAAGGAATCCCGCAACTGGTAGGTGAATCACCATAACCAATCTGGTCCCCGGGCACTAGACCAACCCCCCCCCCCCATGCCACCGGAGTTTGCAGTTCCCAAGTGCAGGGCTGTCAAGACGGAATTTCAAGTTAACGTCGTTTTCATGACGCAAATTCTCCATGTAGTCTCGATTTCCGGGTTTTCGCCGTGATGGCAGTATCACATCGACGTCTGGTGGTAGTGGCGCATAGGCAAATGGTTTCGTAGGCTGCAGAACAGATGAAAGATCAGATAGTGAAGCTTCGACATACAGTGCAGACAGGACTAGTGAAAGATCCGAGGGTGCTGGCAAAAGTCCTGCTGCACGGCAGCCAAATACGTAGTTTTTTAACGTGATTTGTGGACTTTTTTGGACTTGGAGCAAAATTCGCGTCTTTTCATGATACGACAAGTGGCGCACGGTCTGCTCACATTCAAATACAGTGCTGCCAACAAATGACAGCGTGCAACAAAAAATCTTTCTTTGCAAGGGCACATTTTCGGCCATAACTCTTGAACGGCTGGTCAGATCGAGACAAACCTTCCAGAGATTTTGCAGCTGTTCATGCTCTTTCAATTGATGAAGCACTCGATCTGAATTTACAAATTCGATTTTCAGGGATTTTGCGACCAGGCTGCCACCTTATTCTCTCTATTATCAACAGTGCATACTAGGCATATGCGGATAATGTCGGCAGAAAAATTGGCAGAATTCGATACTTTTTCTGGTAAGTTTCATGCATGTTTGGTATGTGGATAAAGAAGTGGAGCAGAATTCAAGGAATTGCCCGCCATAAGGTGTGTATGGTTATGCCAATTTCACTGCTTTTCGAGCAGAATCTGCCACCTTTTCGAGCATTATCCGCACACCCCTAGTGCCTACCCTTCAAATTCTCTGTGTATGCTCGTCTACAGGTGAGTTCTCATGTCCGGATCCATATGAGCCAGTGCTTCTGCACAAGGGAGAGGAGCCACGCAACACACACACTTACACCTGTTACACGTATACAGGATTTTGCTTTCTTCATGGATGGCTTCCATTTATCTGCGCTATAAGGGTGAGAACATTGCTGCTTTGCACGGTATTTGGAAGATGTTATTTAATGAGTACGACATTTTAAAACCATTCGTCTTCAGGGTGGAATAAATGTCCAGTGGAATTCAAATTAATGATGGGTAATGCACACTAAAGATTGGTGATTCACAAACATTTCCTACTCTGACTCTGTGGAATGTTTTCAAACTGCCCTTAGCCCAATCTTATAGACCAATCAATGTATTGACCAGCATAAAAACTTGTTGTCTCTAAATTTTGGTCAAATACCAGGGGCGTCGGAAGGCATTAATTTTAGTGTGGTACAGTCAGCCATCTGAATTACAATTTAGTCGTGTGGGAGTGGTGGCTGAGCCAAACAATTTGGAATTTTAGATCCCAGATCAGTGTATTATATTGATTCACGGGGTATCTGGGGCAAAAAGTGGTACGGTCAATACCGTAGTGACCGTACCGTGTGCGACGCCCCTGATTGTCTTTGTGGTCCACTTTCACAACAATAGGGAGGTTTAGTCCCACGTAATCCGTGGGTACTTTACGTGTGTGTACCACGTGATACTCAGTGACCCACGTACAGACGTTTTCTGATTCACGACATACCGTGTATGCAGGCTCACCCACGTTCCGCCAGAACGTGGGTGAAAATCAGAATGGAGCGCATTGTGCGAGCTGTGAGGCTGCTCAGCTGAAGAATTTTCCGAAGCACGAAATCAAAATATTGGATGAGCTTCTTAGGCCCGGGTAGCTTCGTCTTTGACCAGGTTTGGGCCTTTCGCTTCATGCTTTTGCTTGTTCCGTGTGACTAAACACAACATTGCAACGTGGGTGCCCTTCATCCACTTTACGTGGATCACCCACGTGCGCGTTTCCGTTACGTGGGAACTAAACCTCCCTAATAACACACACAGAAGTCTCTGCTGTGAGCACGGTGGCTCGGCAATGGCTTCATTATTGATATTATTATATCTCATTCCTGATTGTTTTTCTTGAATAATTGTATGCATAGGGCCTGATAAGAAAAAATATGCACAAGACACTTCTGCTACTGTAGTCGCACAGAAAAACACACAGAAAAACGACAACATGTTACAATGAATGTATCAACACCCGTCCAAGCTAAAGGACCGACATCCCTGCCCAAGGACGGCATCTCGAAACCCCCACACACTCACCACACGGTCATCATCCAGCTTCAGTGCAATCACTGTATTCTTCCCCTGCAGACTCAACCTACTGTAAGATCGGGCGCCGAAGAACGCAGGGGCTCGAGCGCAGCCTAGGAAAGTTCTTAAATTTTTGATTCTAGTCAGACCGTTCTTATTCACACGCGCGCGGCGAGTCGAGTGACGTCATGACGTTTGTCATGTACATGTACATGTACATGTACATGATTGTAGTGCAATGTAGTACTTCTAAACTAGTGGGTGTCGTAAAGGGGGGGGGGGGGGGGGAATGACTGTACATGTAGCAGTTACTGTTTACACGTGTACATGACATATACTCACCTCCCATACATGTACAATGTAGATCTACGTACAATGTAGATCTAGTGTTCTTAAATCTGATAATTCTAGCCTGGACTGTTCTTAAATTTTGCCGGTTTTCCAGCCTGGGTTGTTGTTGTTTCTTTATTTTACTTCACCATATGAACAGGCAAGACTGCCTTCTCACCGGGGCTGTTGGCCCACGGCTCTCACAATATGATGAAAATGTTTAAAATGTGTATGAAGAAGAAAGGAACGGAAAAGAAGATGAAATGAAAGGAAAGAAAACAGTAGGTATTAATTTTATGAAGGGGGGGGGGCGGTATGAAATGGGTATTATCATAGTTGATGAGAGAAGTATGATGTACAATATTCTTGTTCTATAGACTATTTAGTACGGGCATTTCATGAGAGTCATGCATGGGCAAGGCAGGATTTGGACTAGGATAGAGGACAAGAACATAATTGATGAGCATCTGTTCAGGCAGAATCTGTGAAGGAGACATAGTAGGCACAACATCGGAGAGCTAGTTGACGAGGGAGATGAGGTCATAGCCAGACAGCAATGCTTGAAACGTGTGGCGTACGTCGCAAGCGCGAATATCAGCAGGGAGAGAGTTCCATGTGGTACTGCCAACAAAGGCGATAGAGCTACGGCCTGAGGGACCAGGTAGGAACGGCACTCTGAGCAGCTGGCTGACCTGACCGCGCGTGACACAACTTCTGTCCACATCCGTGGCAATGAGGGAGTAGTAGGATTGGAACAGTGAGCTGGCTCTGCCATGAAGGCAGCGGAAGACGAAGAGAAGCAGACGTTGCACGTACAGCTGGTGGAGCTGAGGCATTGATAGTCTGGCAAATAGGGGAGCGGGTGTTCTTCGGCGAGGTGTTCTTCGGCGCCCGATCTTACTGTACTGCACACTAGCCATACAATCTGAAGCTGTATGTAACCATACAATGGCCCACGGCGCACGGCACACCCCTACGTTTTTTTAACTAAAAAAGAAAAGCAGTCGTAACTGCAACAGCCACATGGCCAATAAGAAAACCAATAAGACATATCGATAAACACACACCCAGAAGTCAGGGGTGGGAGGGTGGGATACAAACTGCACCAACGAAAAGCCACTGCGAAGTGACAGGAATGCGGTCCAGCACATAGCCCTTTCCCAAAGGTGCTCACCCTTTTTTTCTCCCTTTTTGGCCCTTTTTGGAAAAGCCCATTTCTTTCGCCCTTTATTGCGTTTTTGGTGAGTATCGCCTTTTTGAGCTTTTTTTGCTGAAAAAGTGCTAAAATCTGTTTGCTCATGCATGCGATCACAATTTCCCAGTGCTCGATGGGCCTTGGCACGCCGCATTTTTGGGGGGCAACAAGTTGGTGAAGCTTGTACCCGGTACACAATGCTGTAAAAAGTGGGGTTTTTGAACTTTACTTCCTGTTTTGCCCTTCGTGGACCCGTAAATGGAAGAGTGCGTATTCATTTCTCAGCTTGGGACCTTGGGTTCATATCTGAACATGTATCATGGCTATGCTTCACTGAAAAAAGAGCACTTTTTGCCTGTTTTCACTGAAAAAAGAGCACTTTTTCAGCATATTTTTGAGGGACGCGAAAAGCACTAAGTGCGAATTAAAAGAGCACCTTTGGGAAAGGGCTACCAGCACAACATTTTTGCTGAAGCAAAAAGTTGTGGGGAAATCCCAAAATCGGTGCGATTTTGCATGAGCCCAAATGTTCAAGTTACCCACAAAGACTTTCCCTGATGATCCCATTGCTATCAACATTGTTAAAAATCACAAACACCTTGGTATATTTCTTGATGAACACTTGTCCTGGGATTCGCACGTAACCTATATTGAAAAGCGAGTTTGCTCCGCGATAGGCTGCATTTCTCCTCACATCTCCCATCTACACCATGGTTGTCGAATACAAATTTATCACTCTTATGTTCTTCCTTTGTTTGATTACTGCTCTCTCGTTTGGTCCTCCGGTCTATCCTCCGCTCTTATGCATCGGTTAGAAGTCACCCACCGTTAATTACTTCGATTAATATTTCGCATGCCCCCTCTGACCTCCTCTCAGACGCTATACATTTTGGCTTCCTCTTCCCCTCTCTCAGAACGCTTTCCCCACTCGGCATGCAAATTCATTCACCGTATTAAGCTTCAACTTGCTCCTCCTCATGCACTTGCGCATTTAAGCTGGTTCAATAATAGCTCGCGTACTAGATGTTCTCTCCATTTCCCACTTGCCAGGTCATCGATCCTTTTAAAATCCCCTCTGTTCAAGTCCTATTCTCATTGGTCTCGGCTTCCGCAGGAGGTAAAGTCTCGTGACACCTTCGCTGCATTTTGTTCCATTCTGCCCGCGCCTAAGTTGAATTGAATTGAATTCGTTGTTTTCCATTGCTAGCCTAATCTTCATACTGCTCTCTCCAGGTTCCTATAGTACTCCTTTTGTTTTGTTTTCTTTTCTCTTTTTCTTCTCCTTCTTTTTTTCAGTTGTCCCCACCATGGCTGGTTAAAATCGCCCGCATCACATGCTTATTGGCACTATGTCATTGTGATTGTGAAATAATAATAAATAATAATAAAGACACAAGCTTTCCAACTCTCTTTGGCCGTTGGAAAGCGCACCATCCCCTACTCGCGAGATTAGTGACCCTGGGGCACTATTTGTCCAACGTTAATCACAGATGGGCTCTATTCAAGAGAAGGCACTGATTTTTTCAATGCTAGTGCATTTGCGTCATCCCGCTTAAAAAACAAAGACGTTATACTCGTAAAGAGAAAAGTACCTATAAGTCACTAGTTATGACTAACAGTCCACCAAGGTCCTTATAATTATAATAATATAGGTCCTTTTCTCTTTACATGTATCTATTAGTTCAACATCCGACATTAGACACGGTTAGACTGAGCTCTCTACATAAGCAGGAACGCCACCAACCTCATAGGAGCAAAGGCGAGTATACGTTCAAGCCTACTCTTATAGTTATAGTATATGCCTATTCTTAGCAAGAAACCTAGGTATTTGTTCTTCTTGCTACTGCGTGTGTTTTCAGGAGTGCAAATACGTTTACAACCCACCATCTTTTGTCTATGAGACGTACTGGTGTGCCAAGCCGCAGACGGGATCAACGCAGCCCGGCTATCTCTTCGGCGGAATGTACTCGAAGCAATTTCCAAACCCAGTGACTGGATATCGGTCGTGCCCGCAGCATTTTAGTGCGGTCTCCATGGGCATTGACACCAAGTTGTGTATGAATGATCGGAAGGGGGGATACAAGCACTTGAGCTCACGTCAATTTGGAGGTAAAAATTGATTCAGTGCAATGGTGCTTACCTCTAACTGTGAGCCATTCATAAGTCAGCTCCTGCCTCCTGGTAATGTTATGAGACAGCATGAATGTGTCGACTTCCCGTGGACACTCTGCCGCCAGCTTTTCTAGACTCCGCCCCAACTCGCAAAGTCTTCAAAAATGTAAATGCAACGTCAATGTCCGTGGACCATCGCCAATCCTGTCGGCGCCGACAGGATTGGCGATGGTCCACGGACATTCTGCCTGTCGACCCACCTACATTCTAGTGCCCCGTCAACGTATCACAACTCGTTTTCTTTATCCCGACTCCCATTGCTGAGATGCTGAGCTGCACACTAGCTGATGTTAACCCTTGCTTCCTTTTTAATTTGCTGACCCGTACAGCTCTATCTTTTGTTTTTGGTGCGTGTTTTTGGCCGTGATGTCGAGACCTCAGGTCGGCGGAGCCAAAAACGTGTAGCCGTGTAGTTTGGCCCAAAAACGTGTAGCCGAACCTCTCTAATGCCCCACCATCACTGCGTCCTCTCGGTGCAGCCCCGACTCAGTAGTTGTCACGTTTGTCCTGGTCTCAGTACCATTGTCTTTCACTAGTATTGCCGGTGGTTGGGTATGTGAACATAGTTAAAAAAAACACACACACACACATGGCACGCACGCACACCACACACACACACACACACACACACACACACACACACACACACACACACACACACACACACGCACACACACACACACACACACACACACACACACACGCACAGAGCACCATGCATCACAGCAAGCACGAAACGCAACTCACAGCCAACCATGCTATGGGGGTATATACTCTTTGTATGATCCTGCAATATATAATTATATACATGTATTGTACCGATCATTCGATTTCGGAATCGGATACTATTCTAGACAGCACGGTGCTGCGCATAGGAAGGACAGATGTTATGGCTCTTGTCGGTAGGTTCGACGGAAGTGTCTCTGTACAAAGTAGATCTCTATACAGTGTACGGCTAAAGGAATTTACTGCATATTTCGCTTTATGATTCGCAGGATTCTACAGTTGCTCAGCAGGCAATCCCTTTGCACTGGCTCAGACCATGACTCCCATGCCGCAGCGTATTTCTGAGGTACGTAATCGGTGTTTTCAACTTTGTTGTTCATTGGGAAGAAGAAGTGAGTTTGTCACGTCTGAGCGTGGGTTAGTGTTGCTACCGCGGCTAGTCATTAATAATTATAAAGGTTTCTATAACTCCTGCCATGTCATTTTATGTGCCAGTGTAGGGTTTCAGTGTCTTTTCCTCGTATTAATCCAACCTTACTTTGTACGATGCCCTCGACAACTTCTCTTACCCGCTGGATTAGTATGAAATCTTCAAATGAGATACTTTCTTCAAATGTTTTGTGTTATCGCACCACTAGGTTGGCTTTGAGGCTCTAACAGGACCTGAGTCCTGGCCACACAGCTGCCCGTTTGGATATACACTCCACAGAGCTGCTATTGACTTTGGCTGCCAGATCATATACTGCACGATCGATCTACCTAAGCGCGAATTCACTCGGCCTGATCCAGTCCGGCCCCCGTACGATAAAACCGCGCCGCTACCTGGCAACCACACGATCGACGTGACGAACATCACCGGACCGGGCGGAGATGTGTGGCTCAAGAATCTCACCACCGGTGTCTGGAACAAGGTAGGGTTCCTCTCTGCACTGTAATCTGCTGCTACTGCTTGAATAATTATTTGATTTCTACTGTGAAACCTGTCCAAGACGACTACTCAAGGGACCTGCAAAACGTGCTCTCTGTTTCCAGGTGGTCTCCTTATCCAGGGTCATTTGACTGGAAAGAGCATCCCTTGGTCCTGGATTCAGTGGTCGTCTGGGACAGGTGGTCGCCTTCACAGGTTTTACTGTATATTGAGTTTCTATGGTTGCGGAAAACTTCGGTCTAACCGCGTCTCGCACGAACCATAAGGATTTTTTTAAATTCTTCATTCCGCAGCCTCTTCACTATTGCAAAGGTGTGTGAGCCTTGGTCAATTTCGTCCCTCACATTTGAGGGCCACATGGTGCCTGGCCGAGTTAGGATTCCTTTCCCCGGCAGACTCCCTTTGATAGGCATCCATTTGCCTCTGGAGAATCCTTGAAAATATCATATCAATAATATCATTACAGGATCTTCCGTGAACTGTTTTTCGCTATCACTTGCCAAGGTGTATTTCCCTATCGCATTAGCCAAGGAAAAGCTAGAAATATCCGTGGCCAATGTCGGTGACGTCATGTGTTTCCAAAGAGGAGCATTCTCTGATGTATATGCACATTGTGAAGACGAGGTTTTAAACTTTTAAAATCTTAATGTTGAGTAAAATCCTACAGATACCCAGGAATTGGGCAAGAGAATTAAAGACAAGTTGCTAATAGCAATCCAGCGTTAGACTGATATAAAGATCAATCTCGCCAAGAGAACGCTTGTATTGACTATTGCACATTTTGTGTTCTTCCTGATTTGAACAGAGAATTGTGGTATCGCAGACGGGTGACCAAGCACAGTACAGGTGGGCTCACCATCAGACTTTCTCGAATCTTGAACGAGATTTCTCGTTCGTCCAATTTTCATTCTATCTAGTCGCTGCATTTCGTTGATGTATTGATAGCTTTCCGTCAAAATCACCCATTCCTGTGCTTTACAGCAACGCTTAGCTTGCACTAGAGTCCTGAGAGTGCGGACGAGGAGGAGGGGAAGAGGTGCTCCAAGGTTCGGAGGGTCCCCTGTGATCCTTTTTTTAATCAGTGGCAGACAACATTGATAGACGTGTAGTTGTCGTGTGATCCAATGTTGTGCTTAAAAAATGTGCACTCATGAGATAGGCCTATAAGGTATAACAACAATACTTCATGATCAAAAATTCACTATTTCCATTCCAATATTCAACAAGTGCCTTCGTAAAAACAAAATCAAAAATGAGCTGTCCTGCGGAGCGGACTAACGGACACTGTGGACAGCAGAAACTGGGCGTGCCGGTAGTCTCAAAACTCAGCTTCGCAGTATAATGTAATTGCAGCATTGTCATAATTCATCCCATTGTAATTGTACATGCTCATTTTCAGAAATAATCTGCTGGTGTTTGCCGTCCATAATCACGATAGTGGTCCTGGCACCAACTCACCATCATATTACATGACTTTCTAAGCACATATTCATGACTGAACTTCTGCCATCTGAATGCATTCCTTGGTTGTGCCTTGTGCAGTCTTGACAGCGTATCATCTAGCTCCAGTATATCTAGCTCCAGCGACACACTCGCCTACACTCTTGCGCCGGCGGGCGCAGTTCTTGCCCTCATGGTCATCGCTCTAGTTGCTTCGCACGGCAAGATCAGACGACTAGAAGCGGAGAGGCCAACATGGTCGCACAGCCCCGACGTGTCCTTTGCTGCGGGCTCCAGTTCGGAATCAGACCTCGTAGTCGACCAAGACTCGGCAGAATCCTCTACAGCCAGCACCACAGCCCCATGCCAGGCTAAGTCATCGGGATCAGAAGCGATGAACTACTAGACTATGCTCGCCAATCACGTTATTCCTTCCTACGTCATTTTCAGGTCTGTTAAATATTCATTTCTGTTTTCGGAGCAGATTGAGTTCCATATCCATGAATGCTGGCGGGAATCAGATCACTTCAAAATGCTTTATCTCTCCATTCTTGTTGTACTGATAACAGCTAGGCACGTGGTTTTATTGTAATTAATAATATTAATTGCATCAAGCTTGTGAGGCTATCATTTCTATCATCATTGGATTCTCAGTGCATTGGGTGATTAGCCACGGAACTCGAGACTGGATATCATTTTTCTCCTGGCCCTCGGCATGGGCGGGTAATGCTAGTTATTTGCTGCGATAATGTTTAAGGCAATGCTCATAATATGAGGATATAATGACACTTATAATGCTCACACTACTCCATAATGCCAGTTTGAAAGTTGGAAAAGTCGATTTAAGAAGGTCGTCTTGGATCAAGGCCAAAGCGTAGAAGAAGAAAAAACTTAAACAGCAGTGAGCATGTTGTCTGAAACAATCCACTGAGAAGGTTGATTTGCAACGTCAAGTCTCCGGACGAAGCCGGACGGGTCCAGATGCACGATTTTCGGAACTGGACCCAGCCAGCTTCATGCATGACACCGTTGCTGACCGGCAATTATGCTTGCAATGCCAATTTTGCATGCGAAATGGTGTTATAATGCCAGCATTATGCCACCTGGAAAAAAGGGACTATAATGCCAGCCATAATGCAAGCATTACCCGCCCATGCCTACCTGGCCCTACGTACCTCGTACCCTACCTCAAATTGGCATTTTTTTGTTAGAAATAGAGTGCAGGACAGTGAATAGTTAAACCAAACACGAATGAAAAAAGAAAAAATTTTTTTTTGTAAAATATTCAATATCGAACACGAATAGAATAAAATGTGTAAAGAAAAAAATGCTCTGCAGTGCAGTGGGATCATCGATATCACTTCTCCGAAACATTAATGCTGTGGGTCTAGTAGTAGTAGTAGTATTTATTATTTGACTAGGGGAGTCCCAACAGGCATGGCCTTGTTACAGGGAACCCTAGGTGAATCTTTGTGAGGTGAGCAAAAGTACCAGCAGATTGCGCCTGACGACAGTTTGGAGGAAGAGTGTTCCACCAACCTGCAGCCAGAAAAGAAACTGAGCGCCGTCCATACCCAATATGTACAGTAGGTAATACTAAGGCAGCTGTATCCTGGCCACGAGTACGAGCATTTGTGTGCGGGCCAACTGAACGCAAGAGAAACAGTGACTGAAAGAGGGGGCTAGCAATTGATGACAAGCAGCGATAGACCAAAACGTATAGTTTCAAATTATTAACTCTTTGCTCAAATGAATACAGATGACACCGTTGTAAAACTAATGCAGTTGGGGTCATTCTATCTAAACCAAAAGGGTCTGTGGCTATTCCGCTGAGCACAGCCGATATGTTCATATCGCCTCACGACCCTGATAACTATACCCCAGATTAAGTAACGATATCAGTTTCATGAAGCTAACAAGTCCATGCCTGACACCCCTGATCCCCCTACTTCAGTCTCCGTACCCTTGATCACACTCGCTATGGGAATGCAGCTCATGTTAGTAAAGGCTTGTGAGCAGTATGCAGGCAGCCATGGTGGGAGGGCCCAAGACCATGGTCGAAAAACAGAGGGTACCATGTTCAAGTCCTGCTTGGAAGCTGACGGATTTTCATGGATGTACTTCAAGTAGTGAATTGGATGCTCGGTCTTTGACCGTGAATTGGCTGCTCGGTCTTTGACCGTGAATTGGCTGTTCGGTCTTTGACCACTTTGTGGTGGGTCTGATCTACTCACCTCACGTCGCTTTAGGAGCTGCATCTGCGCCTTGTTCCATAGAGGGTCGGGGCATTCCTACGGATGCGGAAAACTAGGTCTCCAACCGAGCCTCAAGCGAACCGTGAAATTTTTTTGTGATGAGCAATGTCATTCATAAGTTCGCGAGTTGGCCGGATCTCACTGGATATGGCGTACATTGTAAATGCAGATGCCAACTGTGGTGGAAATAACTTCAGGGGAGAATGAACCAGACTTTTAAAGCTGTACTTGACAAGCATCTGGTGCGCAAGGCGGTAGACATCTTGTTCATCTCGCCCTAAGTAACCTGGGTATCGTCATAAGTATAATTATAGAAGGAATTACATTCACATACAAGTACGTATGATGGTCAGTGGCGGAATGGAGCCGCAGGTCAGTAAAGAGTTCAGATGTCAGTCAAACGTGCAACCGATTGGAGTTTGCCCCTTCTCACAGGAGATTCCTGCCCAGAAACAGGCAGGGAACGGCGCCAGCGGGGTGCACGTGTGTCCATCAAAATTCCTGCAAGCGAGTCGTAGATCGTTCTATAGCCGGCAACTATTCCGTCTAGTTGGTGACGAAGTCCAGACGATGCGCCGGCGGTGGCATACCCGACAGGCATGAATTGAAGCCAATTACTTGTCACGATATGTCGCCACCGCTGGAACTAAGATCCAAAAGTAGAACAGTGCCGTCTGTTTCTCTAGTAGCAGTGTATTCAGCCGTGTGGCAAACGCCAGATGTAACGTTTACTGTTGTTCTGTCTTGTACCAGGGAAATACTATAGCGGAATCTCTGGTGTTAGCTCTAAGATTAGCTGTGTGTAGGCGTGAGAAACGCCATTGCGTCCGGTGTATGTATATCCGGTTTAAGCTTCATGTTATGTTGATTGTTGTGCACTTCGTCATCCGCAAATTCTCCTGCAACTCGGACACGGCCATGTGGGATAGTTTGAAGACTTGCTAGTAGTGATCACAGCTTCTGTAAAGAATTTCAATTAGATGAGCATCCCTTCTCGAATGGGTGATGGCGGTATTTGGTAACCAGATAAAATCTGCGTCTAGTGGAGATACGAGAATTTTAGACGTCAGAATGTCGAGTCAAAGAGAAATGGCGAGCACACATGCTCTTTCCCTGAGCACTGCAAATTCACAACTCAGTTCACTAGAATGTCCAGTGGTGTAGAATGTGCGGGGCTGCAGAGCCATAGTCCCGGTTGCCCTTCATTCACCTTGCTACGCCATGTCCTTTATTTTTATTATTACACCTAGGCTGTACAATCATCATGATGTATGTTGGAAGAAAGACATCAACGTTCAACGCAAGCGTCAAAGGAATGAAACGAAACACGACACACTTGTTATAGCCCCTGAGCTTGTCATGTTGTTTGCACTCGCTTGTAATCGATATGCCCGCGCACAACAGCTCGCGCGTCTGGGATATGTAGTACTGTCTGAGAGACGCACGGACTGCAAACAGCAACATGGCGATCTTTGACATCCAGCGTCGGCCAATGACAGGGCCCTGAGTGGTATGCCTCCAGGGTCTGGTCAGGGTCTGGTCGCAACATGGCATCCAGTATGAATTACTGGTGTGTGATATGTCATGCATTCAGACAGTGTCGCAGGTTTCCGTTAGAGGTTTTCTGTCCCTGCAGACCTGGACATTGCCTACTCGATAATGACCACCATGAGCATAGAACACAGACGTGACATAAACGCCAACTTACTTGGCGTTCATGTTACGTTTTGTTTGCTACAAGCTATGTTGCTAAATCCTGTGTGTGTGCTGTGTACTCGGAGTAGGTCAATATCCCCTGGGCAATGCAGTTTGATGTGCAGACTTGACCGTCACCGGCACCGCACGGCCGCTCAGGCCTAGAATAACACCACTAAAAGTCAGTAGCAAGGCTCAAGTGTGCTGCCTCTAGGAACCAAAGTAGGCAGGTGTGACTGACTAGGAGCTCAATCCAGTTGGAGCTGTCCAGGCTTGCACACAGCCGACGCATAGCATCGTGATAGCAAAGTTGCCTAAGCCTTCTGCACTCGAATGGGTAGCATCATTATTATGTAGTGAGAAGCTCAAATCGCAAGTTGGACTATTTTTTTGAGTGTCCTTACGTTTTGGGTACCACCTAGTTCGGCAATATTACCAAGATTCGATGCAGGTTGTTTGGGAGAGCCACATTTCGCTAAAGGGATTCCCCAAGATCGGTCGGAACAGTGAGTTATAGTGTGGTAGCGCAAGCTGAAAGTGCTTTTCTGTAAGCATGTCAGTGTGTGGGTGTGGGTGTGGGTGTATTTCTTGTGTGTGTGTGTGGGGGGGGGGGGGGAGGAAATGGTTAATATTCCAGGATTTTCATTTAGCCTAGTGAAGAAAATGAGTCAAGTTGTTTCTATGGAGGCCCAGATTGCTCACTCTTGCATTCCGGCTGGATTCACGTCTACACTATGCTTACACCCATTGAACACCACTATGTGGAACAACAAGTTTCTTGCCTGCTTGTTAATTTACACTGTATTCTTAGTGGTAGGTGCCCATGTTCCCTAGCTATGGTGACTTTTAGGACTCAACATAAGCCGTGCAGCCAATTCTGTTGCGTGGAAATGTACGCTGAGGTCTGCCAACGGGGTGCACGAAAAGACTTTCCTGGTTTTAGCTCATATCAGTCACTAGCATGATTCTCTGAGTTTTGCAAATTTTAGCTTTTGCCACTGGAGCTCATGAAGGGTTTTTGCCGGTACAAATGCAATTCTGTGCTTTAGAAATGGACTTGCTGCGCTTCTTCCCAGTAGCCACTGCCCTGCTGCTGACGTCACATGCCTTGTTTGTACATGCATCGACCGGTCTCCAGCAGCCCAGTGAGCAGGTATCTGCACAAGTCGAACGGCAAGCCGGACTCTCAGTGGAGCCGTGGTTCAGGTGCATCAACATAACAGGTAGGCAGGGCATTCCTCTACTGCATCCAGCTAACCCCCTCCCTCCACGATACATACATACACACACACACACACACACACACACACCTTTTGCACCTTTTGACGCCCATCGCCGGAGGCGATGAAAGCGATGCTACAGCAGAAGCCACAGCAGCATATGCAGGGATTGCACCATTCAACAGCTTGCAAGACTGAAGAATTGACCATGCACTGGCTGTTGGTACCCACCCAGGAGAAAGCAAGAAAAGTCAGGAGGAGTCTGAGAAAGAGAGGAAAGACGTGTGTGACCATAATCGTCGGGAATCAAACCCGCAACCTCTTGATTGGAAATCGCTGCACAAACCACTGCACCATATGGGACACACAGACGCACACAGACACACACACAGACACACACACCCTCCCCCCCCCCCCCCCCCTCTCCCCCCACACAGACACTTCCTGTCCCCTAGGTCAATATCGACTACTACTATAGACAAAGTTTTTCTTTGCCTTTGCCTTGATCTTGGTCATGTACTGCAGGTGCTCTTGTTCCACTGGAAACATCACCGGGCTGGGGCTGGGATGCGCTTAGCGAAAAGAAATTGGGATTCATCCCTGAGCGGAGCTGGGATCTGTGTCAGACTACACCAGATGGCAAGTACATTCTGCCGGACGCAATGCAGGCAATACCTATCAAGACCAGTAAAGTGAGTACTGACTCTTGTCGCTGCCATTGCAGTGTCCCACCTCCAGAAAAATTATGTACGAATAGTTTTATTTTACCAATTGGCCAACCGGACAATAGTTCGCAGCAACAACGAAAATAAAAGAAACTAGAGAGCTTGGAAGCTCAGGGCCCTACGCTATGCGTTTTGCCTTGATGACCTAGGCAAAAGACAGCATAGGGATGTTATCAATTTTCTTATCAATTTATCCTTTTTTTTTTCAAGACATAACCTGGGATTCGAACCCGCACTATCGCCCTGCATGCATCTCCCGATACACTTCGCATACATACTAATTCTTCCAAGTAACAAGTTGCTTCACGTTATGATCTTGCATTTGAAAGCCATATTTGAATATTGTGGCCAGATGTTTGTGGCCAGCCGTCTTTGATGGTACGGTACGGTACGGGACAGGTACAGTCGAGGGTAATACGACACCGTCTACCACCTTTAAGACCTAGGCAAAAAATCATAGATGTACATTTTTCAATTCTTCTATTTAAAAAAAAAAGCATAACCTGAGATTTGAACCCACACTATCACCCTACATGCATTCCCTGATACACTTCGCATTCATACTCATTCTTTTCTCACTCACACGTCAGTACTGCACACATACTCACACACACACTCTATCTCTCTCTCACATACACACACACACACACACTCACACACACTCATCACAGAATAACAACTGCGGGGGGACAGCCACAGCAAGGCTGGTTGCACTCTTGTGTCCAGAACACAGACAGAAAAACGTCCAGCGAAAACAACACCTCATAGAGTGACAGCATTGTGCGAGGTGAATCATACAGAAAAGCACAGCAATCGACAGAGCATCCGCACATTCCACACCTCGCACAACTTATAACCTGTATTGTAGCAGCAATATTGAGAAATCTATCAGAGAGAGAGAGTAACGCAGCGCTCTCACAATCATGATCTGTGTGTGAAAACCGTACAAAGCTCCTCATTGGGAGGGAGGGTGGGAAACCAGCTTGCAAAGCAAGAAAACAAAAGATGAGGGACTGCGGCGTACCAGTACGCCCAAAACTGTTGGACCTCGGTCCCAGACCTGTTCGTTCGAAAAGAACAACATTTCTTGTTTATTTCGTAAAACTCAGCCAACAAGAAATGAAAACTTCTTTTCTCACTCACACGTCAGTACTGCACACATACTCACACACACACTCTCTCTCTCTCTCACATACACACACACACACACACTCACACACACTCATCACAGAATAACAACTGCGGGGGGACAGCCACAGCAAGGACACTAAAGCATAGCAGTAGAGTCACACAGCTAGCACTTGAGACACCTGCAGCAGATTGGGCAGGGATTCCTGAATGTAAGCCTTCATAGCATCACTTCTCCATCCTCCCTGTCGCTGAATGAGCCTATCTGGTACTCCTGCTGCAGCAGCCGTGGATGCACCTCCCGATCTCAAACTGTGTAAACCATACTCATCTGGGTTTACGCCGATACGCTTCAGAGCTTCACGCACTAACTCTCTTGCTCTGCTGTAGGATAGCGAGTGCTTGATGGCGGTCCTGCCCTTTACACGAGCTATACGCCCGAACAGCTTGACATGACCTTGGTGCCCTCCTTTTTCAATCAGATGCTCCACTAGCGATACCGGGCACAGGTCACTCTCCCACCGGCTGATGAACACCCAGCTACCTTGCCTCAGTTGGTCGTTCTTGCGAACTTGCAGGAAGACCGCCATATGTGATGACTTGATGGCTACCTCATCCACGAAGATGTTGGCCAAATCATCCCACCTCATCATACCGGCATAACCCAGTACTATGAGGGTTAGGGTCTGCAGGTCTTGCAGTGATGAGCTTGACAGTTCCCGATGGAGGCGCTCCAGAAGTGGTTTTGATAATGGCAATTTTCTATCCTTCGGTCGAGCCAGAGAGCGCTTGGCTGCCTGCATCACATTCTTCACCACTCCGTTAGAGCATGGGTCCGAGTATCCCTGGATATCATGTTTCCATGACAAGGCGCACACGGCTGAGACCAATGGGCTGACAGTTTTGGCATCTTGCATGATGTAGACCAGATATAGGGCTACGTGAAATGGGTCTGCTGGCAGATGAGGCACCTTCTGACGCTCTGCCCATTTGCTCCATCTACAGAAAGCAGAGTCGTACTTCTTCACAGTTCTTGGTGCCCGACTCATATTCATAATGGATGGCAGACATTGTTCCAGCGCCTTCATGTCCTCTGAGAGGTTGTCCTTGGCTGGTTCTGAACAGAGAATAGAATGGTTTCTGTCAATGCTTCCTAGCTGGCTATGTCAGAGCAGTCGACTCGTCAGCTTCCTTCTTCCCCCAGGGGGATGTCGTCGCTATACCTGGCGATCTTCCACCACTCCTGCCATTCACTCGCACCCACAGCTTTCCACTGCCAGGCAGTTGCTTACGTGCTCAGAGCACAATCACCTCCCCACAGTGGGGACATCCTGCAGCAGGACCTCGCAGACACTGCATGCACGCATTCTCGCTCATCACCACATGCTCCACAAACAGACATCTTTCCGTCAGAGAAAAACTCCAGCGGCCGGCGAATTTCAGCATCCCTCTTCTAACAAACACAGTTTGTCACTGTACAAATGCGTAGTGCATACACGTCACAAGGACTCACACTGCCCCCAAAGAAATTGTATGGACAAGTACCCTCCAGGAAGGTATCATGAGACTTTGGCAGGCTGATTGCCTCCTTAACGAAATCTGCCCACTTTGGGCCGCAACGCAACTTTGGCCACCATGGCGCCGATTGCCATTCTGGAACAACCAAAGTACCGTGGCATTTTGACACGATCAACATATCTACCACACGCCCTATCAAGTACATTGGTGGTACCAGCCAAACTCTTTCTCCGCTCCAATTCACAGTGAATGCATCAATACCCGAGCACCCCGGGTTCCACCACCTTGAGCAGAATCTACTCATTTGCTTTGTTCTGCTGCTTGCAAAGCAATCAATGCTGTGAGGGCCCCACATCGAATCAAGCCAATCGAACAATTTGGGATTTAACTGCCAGTCATCCGTATCAGACAGCTTTGAAAGGTAATCGGCCAGCTCATTTTCTTCGCGAGGCACCCATTCTGCCAGCAACTGAATACCATGCACGGCGCACAGCTTGTGAATCTCCAGTGCTTCGCACTGCAAATGAGATTTTGAACTGCCTACTTGTATTATGTGCACGGCTGCCTGGTTATCGCTTCTGTGAATGCAAACGCCACCTTCAATCTCTTTCGACAGCGAACTCAGAACCAACAAAATAGCTCGCAGCTCACGCCATGTGGAGCTGGCACCAGCCTGCACAATTTCTTTGGTCCATTCCCCTTTAGCTAATTCAGTTCCTTTTGATGTAACTGAGAAACCTCCCCAGCCAGAGTCGCTCGCGTCGGACCACGAGAGCACTGTCACCCTGGGGTCTTTTTTCCAAAAAGGTTGACCGTGGCATTGACTAAACGAGCCAGACCAAAACTCCAGATCTTGAAGCGCCATTTGAGACCAGCTGAGTTTTGCATGCCACGACTCACGGTTCATAATCAGTGCATAAAATGACCTCGTCCTCAACCTGCACACGGGGCCCAATGCCAGCGACATAGATAGCAAATACCCCGTAAGCCTGGCCAATTGTCTGGCAGTTGGATATTCGACCTGTGACAGCTTTTCTACAAACGTCTTCAGCTTTTCCACCCGTCCCTTAGTGACCCGTATGATCCCTTCCCTCATGTCGACTTCCATGCCAAGCATTTCTACCGTCTGTGAGGGCTCCCAGTGGCACTTATTTTCGTTTGGAACAAATCCGGCCTGAACTAGATCTGATTTCAATCTTTTCGCTACTGCCTGTGCACCCTCAACTGTAGAGTGCCCACCCGACCCGTCATCCATGTAAAGCTGGCATCTGATGCCGTCCCTCCGCCAGTGTCTTAGTAAGACACGGGTTACCTTCGTGAAAATGTATGGGGCAGTGGATAAACCGAAGGGGAGAACACGGAAAACGAACCACCTGCGATCACCCCCCTTCCCCACCCAGGAGAAACCTAAGTACTTCCAATACGCCTTCGCAATTTCAATATGATGGTACCCACTCTTCAAATCGAACGTAACCAAATAATCTCCCTGAGAGTACACATTTGCCACGACCTTCATGTCCTCGAGCTTGAACTTAAAGTTTTGCAAATGCTTGTTTACATACCTCAAGTCCACAATGAGTCGTAGCTTCTTGCCGTTGTTCACAACGCCTAACGGACTGGTGACTACAACATCCTCCCTTTTTACTTCTTGAATGCAACCCTGGTTCAGCAGACTTTCCACCGAGTCACAAACAAACTCGGCATTCTCGCATGCACTGCGGTGGTTTGCAAATTCTCTTGCACGCGGGACCTCTATGAAGGGCAGTGCGTATCCATGCAGTACTATGGTTTGAATAAACCTAGATGCCCCCATCATGCGCCAAAATTGCATACATTTAGCTAGGCTACCTACTTGAACATCTTGAACACCAACTTCACGCACATCCCACCCACCATCAGCCTCCATCAAATAAGAATCAACATCTCTTTCTTCATCGGAATGAATTGGTGCAACAACAGCAGGCTTATTTTCTAGCAGCGGGGGCAGAGATGGTCTGGGTGCAGAATCTGACGAAGTGGTCAGCGCTGCCGCAGCGGTGGCACACAGGCCTGGGGGGTCTGGGGGGAACTGCTGGGGCAGGGGTTGCTGTGACGCCCGGCGTGAAGGGGATTGGGGAATTGCCCCAGCTCCTGGACGAGGTGGCTGGGGCACTGCCACGAAAGGGCTGCCTAACGTTAACAGTGGGGGCTCTTTGCTTCGTGCTTTGAATCGCAGCGATTAGCTTTTTTGACTTTTCGGAGGACGACAGGATGTCGACCAGCTCACCCCCCTCTTGAAACCTGCTGGCCGCCTCGTGGCCATGCACATCCGCCACCACCAACCATTCTTGTCTAGCAGACAGCAACGACTCACCTCTTCTGAGCCTCTTAGAGAGACTTCGGCCACCCTTCAGCTTCCGCAGGTCCCGCCTGGTCTTCTTGAGTTGGCGTTGCAGCTGCTCATTCAGGCCGTGCTGCACTTCATAAGACCTTGTCTTCCACTTTCGCGCTGACATCGAGGTGGAGGATCTTCGCGACTTCTTCGATTTTTTGAATTTTTTGGTTTTTCTTTTCCGGCGGGAGTCATCCGACGAGTCAGACGAATCTGATGACGAGGACGATGAAGAAGATGATGACGAAGAAGATGAAGACGACGACGACACAGAAACATTACGGCGTTTACGCTTGGACGAGGACGACTCATTTCCCCGTTCCAGCTGTCCCTCGAGGAGCCTGATTCTCAGGGCGCTCTCTTCCTTTTCCGCCTCAAACTTCTCCCTCATTGCATTGAGCTCCACGGTCAGCTGCGCTGCCGAGGGGGCCTTGGATTTTTTCCTTGGAGGTACCAGCTGCGCTGCCGAGGGGGCCTTGGATTTCCTTGGAGGCATAACGGAAAGGCAGGTAGATCTACGACTGACGAAATCAAGGGAGTCCAGAAAAAGGCAACCAGCTTGCAAAGCAAGAAAACAAAAGATGAGGGACTGCGGCGTACCAGTACGCCCAAAACTGTTGGACCTCGGTCCCAGACCTGTTCGTTCGAAAAGAACAACATTTCTTGTTTATTTCGTAAAACTCAGCCAACAAGAAATGAAAACTTCTTCCAAGTTGCTTCACGTTATTATCTTGAGTTTGAAAGCCCTATTTGAATATTGTGGCCAGCTGTTTGTGGCCAGCTGTTTGTGGCCAGCTGTCTTTGATGGTACGGTACGGGACAGATACGGGTTAGCGCCAGGCGTGACACACACAAACAAACAATCACGGAATTAAAGCTGTGTGGACCCTGGCTAGCGCCAGACGTTACTGAAGTAACGTCTTCTGCATAGCTACGGGAATAAACGCATCATGGAATCATGGAAAGACACCGATGTAGTATAAAGTATGGAGTGTCATCAAAGGGTGGCAAAATTATTCTTGAGCTTTAACACTCTGATGAACTTAAGGGCCTTGGCGGGAACTTCGCTGATTAGTCGTCTCCTACACGACGACACTAACCTCGTTTTAATCTGCCTGAGAGATATTCTTTTCCTTATTCTGTTAAGGCCACACGTTTTTATTTCTATGTTTCTCGTCACCCGCACGCATACAATTCAGGAGTCTGGAAGAAAAAAAGAAAAAAAGCTGTGCTGCACTGACTGTGCATGTGGGAACCAGCACACTCATGCACATGTACATAATGTGGCCTGACCTGCGCGACACATGATGCAAGGACGGCATTTTTGTGCGCAATCCAGCTGCACCTGCACAGAATGTGACAGAAACTCCTACCACATACTAGTTGCTAACTATGGATGCTATTTTGCATGGTGTATTGGTGGACTTTAGTGTGAAGAAAGGTCTAATAAACTTTTTTTATTTTTCGGTCATTTTTTATTTTTTTCCACCTCTTGCATATGTTTTTAGATTTTCAGGTGACGAGAAACATAGAAGTAAAAACGTGTGGCCTAATACACTGATGTGTCATGTGCATGCAGGTCAAGCAGTATTCCGATGTGTATGAGTCCTTCAGCGTTTTCGAGTCTACCACGGCAAGTTCATCGACGACGGCCAAATTTCCGATAATTGGTGGAACTTACTCCGATGGCTTCTATGAAAACAAGAAGAATCAGGCAAGTATAATTTCACTATTTCAGGACATTAGAGAGGTTGGGATGCACATTATTTTTGATGTGACGCAAAAGTTCAGCACGCGTTATTTGGCTCGTGCGTTGGAAAACAATGCGAGTGACCTGAAGCTCAAGTCGAAAGTTGGAGTTTTACGCCAAATTTGACGTGAGATTGCGTGTCATCGCAGAAACCAGAGAGCTTGGAAGCTCAGGGCCCTACGCTATGCTTTTATGCTTTTTTGCCTAGCTCATCGTACATGTTATAAGAACTGAGGCAAAAGTATTTGCAGAATTTATTGCGGATTGTTATTTCTCTAATAATCATCTTCTTTTGGTTTGCTCCTTCTTTTCTTTTTAGCTCCTTATACTGTAAATCAACAAATTTTGGCTTATTGAGAAATAGAAACCTCTCTATTAAAGAGGTTAAGATGCACGTTATTTCCGACGTGACGCGCAATTTCACGTCAAATTTGAAATCGATAGGTATTTTTGCTCTCACATGCATCCATTGCTCAATAATGCATCAATTTCCTATATGACAAACTTTGGCCTGTGATTTACTTTGGCCGGTTGGTACCAAGCGGCGAAATCAGCGAAATTAAATCGCCAGCGAAAATTAGTTGATTTTAATACAGTAATCGGATTTTCTGGCCTTTTTGTAGTAATAGGCCTTATGCACGTTGTACAGATGTACGAAGTTCTGAACTAGGGCCGTAGGTGTGTACATGCCCGGTTGGGTGTTCATTGTGTGCTATACATGCGCGTTTGACCCATTTAGCCTCATAATTCATGGCAAACAATCGCTTTTCCAGCTTCTTCACTTTGGGATTGAACTAACGACTAGCTAGATCTCTGCCAGAAAAAAGTTTTCATATGAAATGCCTTCAGGGCCCATTTCATAGTGAAAATAGCAGTAAACACAATAGGGTCCTGCACATTCAACACCCAACCGGGTCTACGGGATTCTACAAGATTATACGGGATTTCGTGCATCTGTACAATGTGCATAAGGCCTATACATGTACATTGACCTGTTGAGCCAATGACGACGCCGAATGCATGGTTGCCTGTGGAGCACATTACATAACTTAGCAGTCTCCTAAAATACGTATCCTGTCCGACGGCAAAAGAGTCTGCAGATTTAGTTTTTCTTCGCGTCGACGGGATGTCTGCGACGCGAAAGTTCAGCTCGCGTTATTTGGCTCGCACGTCGAAAAATCAACGCGAGTGACCTGCTGCTCACGTGGAAATTTGGACATTACATAACTTTACAGTCTCCTATAATACGTATCCTGTCCGACGGCAAAAGAGGCTGCAGATTTCGTTTTTCTGCGCGTCGACGGGATGTCTGTCCTGACGTTCACTGGGACCGGCGCTGACTCTGCCGATCACGGGCGTTCTGGACTCGACAGGATGTCTGTCCTGACGTTTCCTGGGACCGGCTTAGACTCTGCCGATCACGGGCGTTCTGGACTCAACGGGATGTCTGTCCTGACGTTGCCTGGGACCGGCGGACTCTGCCGATCACGGGCGTTCTGGAGTCGACGGGATCTCTCTTCCGACGTTTCCTGTGACCGGCGCTGAATCGCTCGTTCACGCTTATTTTGGAGACGACGCGATCTCTCTTCCAAAGTACATGTATGTTTATGCTGACGCTGTTTATGCTGACGCATCCTATCACCTATTCGGCGTCTATTCTAATTTAATTTCCTCCTCGTCTCCCTATTTCTTTCCAAATCTCCCTCTACATCAGGGAGTCGTATACATAATACGACGAATATTGGTACGGTACGGGACAGATACAGGAGCTGCCAAATATTGTGGACAGCTGTTATGTACAATCCTGTAGAGCCTTTGTAGTCACAGATACGGGACAGATACGGGACAGATACGGGATAGCGCCAGGCGTGACACAAACAAACAAACAAACAAACACACAAACAAACAAATACCAAATTAAAGCTGTGTGGACCCTGGCTAGCGCCAGACGTTACTGAAGTAACGTCTTCTGCATAGCTACGGGAATAAAGTGCATCTTAACCTCTCTAATATCTTGAGTCAAGAAGCAACTTTGTAAGCGACGTGCTGGCATATAGCTAAATGCATGTACATGCAGAACCCGGGCCTCACTCATGGGTATCCATATTCACTAACGAGTAACTAGGGCACACTGATGGGTACTCAGAGTGTGTGTGTGTGTGTGTGTGTGTGTGTGTGTGTGTGTGCATGCGCGTGCGTGAACAGATAACACAATTTAAAATGATTTGGTCTTTGGCACCTGGAACATCTGCACTCCTGCAGGTCGCCCATAAGTCAGTGACCACACGCTCCGAGGTGCGTCATGAATTCTACAAAATAAAGGTCAAGCCAGATGCCAAACTCAATCCGCAGCTCACAAACCGTCTACTTATCATAGGTGACATGATCCACAGCAACAGAAGCAAGGCGGCCAGACACGAGATCGAGCTGATCATTAGAGACTTCGGAACGCACATGCTCCGAGAGATCACATCCGGTGGCATTTTCCAGCAGGAAGTTCAGGTGGGTGCTGTCCCTATTATGTGTGGCTTTCAGAGCACTTTGAGCTGCTCGGAGTAGAGTGGAATGTTGCCAATGCTGCCAGCTGTGTATCACGGTCGTCTAACTATTTTTTTGTCATTGAATAGGCGACGACGAGACAATAACTTTATCATAGCGATGAATAGTATCAGTGAAGTGGACAATACGGAACGAAAAAAAGAGAATATGGTGACCTTATCAAAATTCATTACTCGATTTCTGATTTTTGTCATTCTTCTGATCTTGGGATCCTTGCTGTAGGTTACTCTAGATTATGCGAAAAATTCGGAAGCCACTCCTGCCAATATCCGAGCTGCAGCTTCCTCCACATTCTTCAGCAAGGTCGGAGTGCAGTTCAACTATTTCGTCAACGCAAGGGCGAAATCACAGTTTCTCAATAACGTCACCCAGTCCTCAACCAGGTGAGATTTGCCGTTTTTATTTATTATTTTTTTACTATGTGCCCATCCCTACTGTACAGAGAAATGGGGGACATTTTTTCTTCTTCTACAAAATCCACATATCTAAAGACACTGGGGTGAACAATAGAGTGTGGTGGTGGGGCCCATGAAACTCAGCCAACCAGAGGTCTCGGCTTCATAGCTCCATAGACGCACCAAAGGGAAATCGGGTAGGGAGGATAAGGGTGAAACAGAAAACAGAAGAAAGAAAATGAAAAGATTGTATTGCTCAGTGAGCAAAAGAAGGAGTTGAGTATTGACATGGACACTGTTAGACTTTGTAACTCAAGAGGAGGCTGACTGTGAGGAGGGCTTAGGTCCAAGCAGGGTAGGACACTGCACCCTCTTACTCGCGTAATGAAAGAGACAAAGACAAAATACAAAGACAACAAAGGACCGTTGCTGGTCCTACATTTTACCGATCAGCTATGGTGGGTTGCTAAGCGGAAAGCCGGTTTGCAGCGGGCAAGAGCAGACTAGCACGCAATGGGGCTACATTACACACTAGCCCAAGGTAGCGGAATCCAGGAGTCGTAAAATAATGACTCCTACTAGTACAAGGTAGCGAAATCCAGGAAGTCGTAAAATAACGACTTCCTGGTTGAATCCAACAACTACGACCAGGTCTTTGACGATCAAGAAAAGCATATTTTCCCACGAAACTGATCGAAATGTTCAATGTTTTTACACACACCAGGAGACAATGGCTGTGCGGGGATATGACGTTTTTGTGATAGCGCTTTTAAAATTGTTTTCATTGCTGTAGCTGTTCTGACTGCGTGATGAAATTATTTGCTGATCGCCTGCGGTTTGTGCTGTTCGTGCTGTTTGTGCCATTGCATAGGACATTCGGTGGCAAGCCATATGTGCCACAGATGAACGTATCGGAATGGGAAGAGGATTTGTCGAGCTCTCTAGCAGCCATCAAGAGCCGACCAGAACCGATCGAGTATATTATCACGCCGCACACCGTACCAGAGCTACCGGCGCCCACTGTGAGACAGGTTAGTTTGGCAGTGGAAAAGATTTCTTGAAATTGTCTTCCGGAATGAAATATCTACATACCCAAATTATGCGTAGCAAGGAGCAACTGGAAAAATATACAGAAATTTAAAAGTAGGATGCTCTAGCTTTTAATGATGCGGGTAGACTTTTATAAACACACAAATTTGCAGGGCAAGTATGGCAATCTACCTCTTTCTCTATTTTTTTTATCTTGCTCTCTCTCTCTCTCTCTCTCTCAACCTCTCTCTTTCTTTCTTTCTCGCTATTCTCTGTGCATTACAAACTTTTTTTGCAATTTGCATGCTGAGTTGATGTTCTTTCGTTTTCTTGGCCATTCGTCAGATATCTAATGAATTGGCCGAAGCTTCAGCGAAGTATATCGATATAAACACACACCAAGGATGCACAGACGTCAATGCAGCAAACTTTGACTTCAACGTAAGTCGTCGGAAACTAGTGTTTATGTGGTGCAGTATTCCATATAGCCCAAGCTTGTCTTGATTGGTGATGCCAACGCGAACAAGCATAATAATAGAACAGGCGGGGAGGTGACACAAGTTTAAGGATGGCAATAAACATAATCAGCTGAAGGTTTTATTGAGATCCGTGACATCTCCAAAAAACCGTCGCAACATGATGCTTCAGCTGATTCTGTTTATTGCCAACCTTTTAAAAGCTTAATAATGGTAATAATAATAATAATCTCTCTGTTGTTCACCTAACATCATATTTAACGTCCATGTGACGTATGGCCCCACCTTTGGCTGCTGGATGCTAGCCTGGTGGGTGCCAATCTCCGGGCTCCGGCAGAGTGCTTATGGATACTAACGGCCCATATTGGGGAATGGTGAACTCAGTACAGAGTACCGTGGGTGAAACATACTTTTTCTTTGGAAACATTTCGAGTCACTTGACACAGGATAAAGTGAAACCTAGACAATAGGTGTAACCTAGGCGATAACCTAGGCGATAACCTAGGCGATAGAGTACTGATCGTTATGTTTGTTTCGCGACACGGTACACCAAAGTTTCACTCTCGCCAGGACTCCTCAAACTTGCAGGTGCCCGCACTGAGGAGGAAGATAACCAGTGGAACAACTTGGCCTGGTCGCATCTCGTAGGGAGGGGAGCTGAAAGAAATCTCCGTGTTGATTTGCTAGCTCATAGTTCGAGTAGAAACCTGTGGTTGCCGGACACTGAACAATGCCAAATCCAGTATTGAACGAACAGATTTCCACGCACCAAAGTGCAGTGGATCGAACGGACAAGCGGAATCCTGTCATATGAGGACAGTTTCTGCTGTACCAAGGTGGTCCCGAGTTAGGTTAGGTTTTACTTTACATAAATCGGTACTATAGGGATGATAGCAGTAATGACCTCAGGCACGGCTGGGTAGTGCGAACAAAGCCGATTCTGGATGGTTCACGCAATCAGTGGGTACATTTTGTTAGTGTGACATGCACCGGGCATGGAATTGCCTGTGCCGTCGATTCCCCTCGATTCCGAGACAAGCACCATTACGGGTACATGGGTGCCTAACTTCTGAGGGAAATTGCTTTACCCGTGCCTTATCAAGCGTCACTATGACATTCCCTTTGCGCCTTTCTTGCTGCAGGCAAACTTTGCAGATGAGACCCTGTGTCGTCCCATTCCCCACAATTACACGTTCGGTGGCATTTACCAGACGTGCACGGTGAAGAACGGGCAGGGCAAAACGGATTTCTGCAAGCCTTTCCTGCAGAAGAACCCAAGCACTGGTAGGTGACCTATTGACGCGGTGAGCAGTCCAAGAACGAGTAATAGGACTGCTTACACTCTGTGATGGCACTGTAAACGCAATGAGAACAGGTAGCACCGTCAGGCGTTCGGTGGATTTGTCTTCTCTTTTAGCATGCAACGCATTTCACTGGTTGTACGCATCAAACGTCGTAGCGTCCAGCTGCGAGAAATACAGCGAGCTTTGCGCCGAGGCAGAGTGTACTTTGATGAACAATCAAAACCAGTGCTTAAACTAACATAATGCGACAGCCGATAACACTATACATGCAAACTGTCAGCGGTTACAGTCAAGCTAAAGAGTGGAATGCCACTGGATGCACATTGAGATTATATTATGTTCTAGTACACTAGTAATCGCTAGTCACAGTGCATTTTGAATGTGAGGCCGCCCGTGCCTGGCGAAGTGGTCGGTAGGACCAGGCTGATTGTTTGTAGCGGTTGTCGGTAGTTACAGGTTTTACTGTACCATGGCAATGCACTTTCATGATGTTTCCATGGCGACAAATTCTGTGCGAACTCTTAACAGCAGCCCAGTCCACTTGCTGTGCGATTCTGCCGATCTGCCTACGTCTCTCTCTGTCTCTCTCTCTCTCTTTCTCCCTCTCCGCCTCTCTCTCTCACTCTCCCTCTGTGTGTGTGTGTGTGTGTGTGTGTGTGTGCGTGTGTGTGCGTGTGTGTGTGTCTCTCTCTCTCTCTCCTAATCTTACTCTGATCCTGTAACCAGGTGATTTCAGCTGCCCACAAACATATGAGCCGGTGCTTCTGCACGAAGGATTCAAAACAACAAATTGGGACGAAAGGAGTTGCGGCGATTTCAAAAGAATATGCTTTTGGGCAAAATTTGTCCCTTACACTTGCTATAAGTGGGTGAGAACTGTGTGTTATATTGTGTTATGTGTATGTTCTATAAAAACTAGAAAATATCGATTTCAATTTTATGGGTGGCGGTAGTATGGCTTTGAACTAATCCAAGGCCCCAAACCCATCATCAAACAGTTGTAAAATTACGATTGAGCGGGCTTTGAACTCTGAAAGGCCCTTAGCGGGGACGTCGCTGATTGGTTGTCTCCTGGACAATGATACGGACGTTTTTCTAACTATGATTAGCCATGCTGGAACTGGTGTGCTTGTAGTCCTCGGCTAGATCCACTGCTGCCAGGGATGTAGGCCGAGAAAGAAACAATGTGTTTTTTCTGATTCTTTGTGTCCGCATCCAGGATTGTCAAACAATATTTTACGCCTCTTCAGCTGTGTACAAGACGTACTGGTGTGTAAACGTCAACAAAGTAGCGGCCCGGTCCGGCTACCTCTTTGGAGGCCTCTACACGGAGCAAACGCCTAACCCAGTAACCGAACAGTGGAATTGTCCCAAGTATTTTTATGCATTGACATTTGGCAACGGATGGAAGATTTGCATCAGCAACAACTACGACAAGGCGCCCGAAAATGCGCGTCCGCTCGGAGGTATGCTTAAAAAATATAAATTATCATTCTTCTATATCGCCCTCCACTACTTCTAGTGATCCTTGACTGGTCCTATATATCTCATATACTAGTAGCTGTTTGTATCGACTGTTTATATTGACCACATAGGCAATGCAATTTTTCGACTTTGGATGGATTTCGAATTTTCCTCTCCACTTCAAAAAGAAAATTTGAAGAAAGAAGACAAAGGAGGAGAACAAGCAGGATTGGAACCCGCAACAGTATGGATCTGAAGCAACCCCCAGGCCCGTCGCACTGACTTTGGAGGTGGGGTGGCCATGGAAGGGGGGCCCTCCCCCGGGAAAAAGTTAATAATTGAAGCCAATTGCAAGCATTTCCGGGCATTTGGTGCCATTTCAGTGAAACTAAAATTTAAGACTTTCGGATTCTGCAACAAACCAAGAAGACGCTACGATTGAGGACCAGGGTTCCTCACTCCCCTGGGAAAAACAAAAATTTAAGCCAATTGCAAGCATTTTCAGGCATTTGGTGCCATTTCAGTGTACATTGTACATGTACATGTAACTGCAATGACAATGACTTTTTGATTCCGCAATAAACCAAGATCGGGGAGAAGGATTTGCCACGTTTGCGCTGAGCTGCGATAGCGCTTTGTTGCAGTGTGCTAAAAAACAAAACAAAACAAAAACGGCCGAAAAAGTGCCTCAGCCGCCCCAGCCGCCCAAGGCTGTGACGGCCTTGACCCCTCATACCACCCCATCACTGTGCTGGAGATGCTGAACCCTGTTCAACAGTTTGACAGTCTTGTACCCAAAATAGGCAACATCCTATGTACACTATAGTACAAATGCTATGTATACTAATAAGGCTAAAATAGCTCCTCTAGAGATAAAATGTTGGGGTTACGGCATAGCAATCGCGATAAAGAGGATATTGACCTCCACTTCGGTCTCTATGGGAAATATAGACCTTGTCTTGGTCAATATCCTACACATTATCATACTGGTATTACTTCAGATACTCAGGCAGTAATAAGTGTGAAATAGAAAACACGCGGGAACGAGTGAATGCCTCTGCACTAGAGTAACCTGTTAGTTTTGTGCCCTGTGCCTTTAGTGTTAGTGCACTTGCTGAGTGCTTATTATATTGTTACAGTCGTGGATAGTTGCTTCATAACTCTTTCCCCCTTTTGTTCTTGCTGCCCGTTTTGGATCCATCAGTTGCCTGATGATCGTAGGAATACGTGAAACTCAGAGTTGTAACAGAGCTTCCAATCTCTCTCTTGTGTAACTCTTTCCCATGTATTTTCTTTATTAATATTGCCGTATCAGGATCCGACTCAAACTGGTAGATCAAGATGTGTGTGATTAAGATAAGACAAACGGCCTGAGCGAATGCTAGGCAGCCTGAGTATTTTCATTCTCCTGATGTGGACACGAATAGGCAGAAATGATTATAGTTATGAATGCCAATAACCGTACTACGGTCTGCCCCCTGCATATTCATGCACAGTGTAAGTCTGCCTCGGCAGAGATGGGGTTGTGCACAAGTACAATCATAATTATATATGTAGAAGAAAACTCATGAATAAATGGGGACTGAAAGCTCTGCAAGGTAGACTAGATATTTGGCACGGCTGGTGAGGAAGTGAGTGCATACTTGAAACATGAAGTTACAGCTTCTTAGCCTTTCGCCTCCGTTGTTTGTGTATACTAGTACTGCTCTGTGCATTTTTGCATCGAGCTGCATCGATCGCCACTGTTTGAGCTAAGAACTACCCACTGCATGATGACATTTTCATCCAGCAAGTGCAGTCCTTAAGGGCTGTGCTGTTTGTGCATCTTTTGCTCACGGCATGCTTCACAGGCTTCTACAGCTGCTCAATGGGAAATCCCCTTCCCTTGCTTCTAGGTGCGCCCACTGCCCCCTCGCTTCTGTCCGAGGTACGTGTCAGATATTTTAGGCGGAATCCAGCCAAGGATGAGTGCGTTTGCTGCAGAATGTACGAGTGTACATCCTTATAGACTTATCGGCAATGCTGTACATTGCATTTACGTACGACCCAGTTCTGTCTGCAGATTGAGTCTTTCTAAGATCATGCACACGGAAAAAAGCCAAGGGCAAAGGTAATGGTGCTCACATCTAGAGATGGCTCCTGCCCAGATCATAATGTAACTGGTTCCTTTAGTTCCGATAGTCCTGTATTTTATGCATATGTAATTGTCCAACTACACTGTCTTTGAGTATATTCTGTTGGACAAGGCACTGTAACCTAGTCTGATTTGGTAGCAATTTCCCACCAACTGTTATCTTTTCCGGCTTGCAGCCAGGCTACAGTGGGGGTTATGTGGTTGAGTTTGGGAGCTCACTGCCGCCTGTTCTAGCTTTAAGAAAACAGAGATGTTTGATGTCGGTTCAACACCAGGTTGGCTTCGATGCCATAACTGGACCTGACAGTTGGCCAAAGCGCTGCCCAGTTGGGTACTCTGCCCGATTGGTCGGCATCGATGATGGCTGCTGGATCGAGTACTGCACGAAGGACAAACCAAGCTTCATACCGACCCGGCCTCGACTGATCAGACCTCCGTATGGCAGGCCCTATCCACCGCCGGGCAATCAAACGATTGACGTGACGGAGATAAACGGACCAGGAGGACCGTTGTGGAGCAAGAATCTTATGACGGGCGTTTGGAGCAAGGTAGGTCACTACTAGCTACTGATAATCCATTTGTCGCAGTTCTCTGTGCAATGCGTTTATGAGGAAATAACGCAATTTCAATAGATAGCAGCGTGGTTTAAATCCTCTCATTTTGCGCCCTACAATCATCGCTTCACATTACGTGTATAATCATGCACGTCGACACATTATGAAATGATCTCAGCAAAAATAGCCTGTGCTATTCCCAAGGCTTGCAATTCTGTGTCTTTCTTGGTGGGAACAGGTACATCGTAACCAAGCGACAGACAACGGCCAATTGCAGGACAGGTAGGCGTAGTAATATAAGCATTCTAAACTCATTTCAGGATTTTTTTGACAAGCTGCAAAAAAATGGGAAAAAGTACCAAGTTGTGCCCGCGTGCACGATACGCCGGGCTATTGGCGGGACAGTGCGGTGGTTAACGTGATCAGAAGCGATTCAACAGGCTTTTCAGGACTGTGACAGGGATAAACCAGTTGCTTCTAAAAAAAGGAAGATTATATTTTTTTATTTCACCTTCCCGTGGCCAGGGAAGATAGGCCAATATGGAGGGAGGGGTTATTTTTTTCCTCTGAAAAAAGAAGATTAGGCTGTACTCCTGCGCTCGTGGCGCTGATGGTCCTAACGCACAGGACAACCGCGATACATAATGTTCTGCAGAGTACTTACAGCACCTTTCATAAGCCCAGCGAATCACCAGGCATTCAAAGTGTGTGACATAGGCGTAGGTTGAACCCGAGGAAGCTGGAACTTTCATAATTGAAGAGCTTCATACATCGTTGGGCCAATTTAAAAATGATTTTTCGTTTGTTGTCTATACCAATGCCCTGAAATTTGAAGGCGTTCTTTGCATGTGCTGTGTGCAGTTTTCTTGACAGCACGTCTGACTCCAGCAGCACCCTGCTTTACACTCTCGTGCCAGCAGGCGTAGTTTTCTCTGTCCTCGGCGTCGCTCTACTGGCCGCACGCCGCAAGATCGGACGGCTTGAAACGGAGAAGGCCTTGTCTAAACGCCCACGCTCACATAATCCCGACGTCCTCTTCTCCGCCTCGCCTGGTCCAGAAAATGATGTCACCAGGGATCCGGGCCTGAAAAAGCTGGCGGAATCGTTCCCAGCCACCTCCACACCGCCGCCTCAAGTCAAGCAAATGCAGCCTGAAGCCACTAACATCTACGAGTAGATCCTCTTCAAGCACATTTTTTGTGGATGTATTATGCATTCTAAATTCGTACGAAAATGTCTATTTTCTCAATATCTCCATTCGAGCAAACCTAATAAATCCGTTGTGCATTGCTGCAGACCATACCAGTGGTATTCTATTCATATTGGAGATTGTATCTTCTTTAAACGCAAGGTAGTCACAGTACATGTATACACCGTTGTCACTGACAACAGGGCTGTGTTAGTATTCGCCCTGCAAAACTGTCCCCAGGCAATGTGTTTCAATCTTAACATAGATGTAGCATCCATCGATCTATTCTCCTGCCTTGCCAGCATAATTCTATACATGACTTTGCACTCTGCCACCCCTGCGCATTAGCGATATTGTTTTCTTTCGCTATATTGGTGATATTGTTTTCTTTTGCTTTCAATCTCATGATTGGTATAGCTATGATTGATCTTCTCTCATGCATGGCGAGCAGGTCACATGACGTGTGCATTCACGACGTTTTGAACGGCCTTACCTTTGAGACAACGTGACATTTCTTGTCGGTTGCGCAGACATCCACCAACCAGATGGACCAACTTTAAACACACTTGAGAGGAATCAAAGCGTTTCTGCTGTAACTCTGAGTTTCACGGTTTTAACCAATCATGAGACAGCAACTTGACTACAATTTTCAGAGGATATGATTGATATAGGCTGCAAGCTTGGATCATAGCGCAAATTTATGATCCAGGTTGATAATGTGATTATGAAAATGATTGCGTGAGTTGGTTGATGGGGTGCAAAAATAGGCGTAAAAAATACGCTTTAGGCATAAGCTCATGCAACCACATGTTCTTCTGAGGGAGGCAAGACCGACATCATAAAACAAAACCTGAAGAAAACCAACATCACTGTCCCTGTAGCCTTTGTCTTAGCTGAGAACAGGCAAGAATGAAACTCTTTCACGCACATATGCGTAGAGCTCAATTCTGAGTAAAAGGCGAGCTGTTCTAATTATCATGGTGCTCAAACGAAGGTTTTAAATAATGAGCTGAGCTCAGATTGTGTTCAACTGTGAGATTTGGTGGTAACGAAGTGCGAAGACATCCCACCACACCTCTATGCTATTGTCCACTTCCCCAGCTATCGAATCAGGCCAACCGACCACCTATGATATCCTACATGATTATTTCCTATTTAATACCATTATTTTATCATCCATTCCAATGATCTAACACCCCCCCCCCCCCCCCCCCCCCCCCCCGGTCCTCCCTCTACGGACATCAGAACTCTGAAATCCGAACATAGCAGGGAATACAAGCAGGCCATAATAGGAAAGAGGCCTTACATTTCCTCCGACACTGGGAACGTATTCCTTGATGGCTTGGAGAAGCGAAACTTCACACTTGTATCCATCGCATCAAACTGGTAACTTCGCTGTCGTCACGGTGCATCCTGCAGTGATCCTGTGCATCCTGCAGTGATAAAGAGATGGCGAAGGGGATCGAGATAAAGATCAATAGAGGGAGAGAGATAGATAGAGAGAGATAGATAGATAGAGAGCGAGAGAGAGAGAGAGAGAGAGAGAGAGAGAGAGAGAGATAGAGAGAGAGAGAGAGAGAGAGAGAGAGAGAGAGAGGAATAGAGAAAGGAAACATTGATGCCATAAAAATCAGTTGTGGTCTGAGTGATCATCTGCAAAGCCACAGTCTGGACAGACCTGGTGTTAATGCACATGGACAGCGCATCAGCAGAGTCCTAAATACTATTTACAACTCCCTGTTGTACATGTACATGCAGTATCCGCACTTGAACGGACCCGGCTGGGCTGTGACCCGGCTGGGCTGTGACCCGGCTGGGCTGTCACCCGGCTGGGCTGTGACCCGGCTGGGCTGTGACCCGGCTGGGCTGTGACCCGGCTGGGCTGTGACCCGGCTGGGCTGTGACCCGGCTGGGCTGTGATCCGGCTGGGCTGTGAACCGGCTGGGCTGTGACCCGGCTGGGCTGTGACCCGGCTGGGCTGTGACCCGGCTGGGCTGTGACCCGGCTGGGCTGTGACCCGGCTGGGCTGTGACCCGGCTGCAAGGGTTGTGCCAGGTGCACGTGTACCCGGCTGCAAGGGTTGTGCCAGGTGCACGTGTACCCGGTTGCTTTGAAGTCATCGAGCAGACGCTAGACATGTATGCTCCTTTTAGATGGAGGATTTCTACACTCTTTTGATGTAGGCGATCTCAGTGATACGTCCAATAATTTGGTGGGATGATTATGTCAGCTATTTGCAGTACTGAAACCTTTCGTGACAAGATGAGACGTTATACATGATAAATTTTGTAATTGAAGTTCATCAAACCACACTCACCGTGTTGAAGCTGGACGCACAAGTAATTAGTTTCCAGGGTGTTGGCAGGCCAGTATTGTTTCCAGAATTCGAATGTTTTTTGACGAGAACTCTTAGTCAGGATGCAGCGCTGAATCAGCACACGTAACCGTTTCAATGTTCCCTATTCTTCGTGACTAACTAGGCACGTAGGTAGAATACATAGAGGTTAGAAGACATCTCGGGATAGCTAGCATTTTCGATTTTGTTGCATCTCTTCACTCAGCGAGGCTCAGAGTGACTGGCCCAATCGACCGCCATGAAGTCTAGTGACAAACAAAGAGTTTCTCAACCGGCTTGAAGCATCTAAGTCCCAGTGCTCGAACTGAGGCCTCGAGGGCAAGCGGGGGAAAGCGCTAACCCGAAAATGTTTGCACAATTTTTTTCCTTATGACTTATGGAGTTTTTCACACGTAGATCTACGTACGAACCGATCGTCATCGATCGGAAGGAGATCGTTTTGTCACGTTTGTGTGAACCTCGGGTCCGGGTCGCAGAGATGGAAAAGGATCACGGGAAAGCTCTGCCCGGCCCGGGGCAAGGTGTGGGTAGTGGAGGTTCGTGAAGCGAGGATTTTTAGTACTACAGTTTACAGTACTCGCGCGATCAGTGCCCCTGGGGCACTACATGCATTTGTTTTCAAGGTCCAACACAGACGGGGCACTATTCAAGAGAGGGCGCAATGCTTGTACATTTACGTAGTCATGCATAAAACAAAGAATGCAAAGAAAAAATGAGCCTAAACTAAGGCTAAAGTGTACTGTAAACTCTCACTGGTGCACCGGACTCAACAGAAAGAGCAACAGGAACTGCGATTTTGATCTTGAAACCACCAGTGCACTTAAAATGTTAAATTTTTTGCAAAACAACACCAAACGTGCACATGCGCTTGGTTACAAGCCCAAGGTGGGGGGGGGTACTATTCAAGAGAGGGCTATACATGTACAATCATGTATTTCTTCACTGGTTCTTAGAGACTGGGGCACTATTCGATATAGGGCACAATTACTATTCAAGAGAGGGTTCCCATCGCGAGAGTACAGTAAGTCTTGTATTCTTGCACACTTTCGCATAGTGGAACCTGACCTAAACGTACACTACATAAGACTTAGTGGCAAATTTGGGGGGGGGGGGGGAGACGGGCCCCTCTTCGGACCGATCCTAGATCTCAGTGGCATTGTAGGTCGTCCCCAGTCTTCAAATCAGAAGGCTCCATCATTTGAAAGGGATAGAAGGATCTTGGGGGGGGGGGGGGGGGACCCCTGGCTTATAATAAAGGCCCCCGCACCACAGTGCAACCAGTGCAATGGTCAATACAGTTCCCATGGTAACACAACATAACATGGCGCGTCCACAGCATCCCTTTTTTCAGGGTGCGGTTCGCCCTCAGCATGAGTGTTGGTCATCGAGGAGAATGGTGGCAGGGAAGCACAGCACAGGAATGCGTTGGGATAGCGGGTGCTTCCCTTGCTAGTGAATCACACAATAATGTACTTCAATCATCCATGTACATGTACAGGTAAACTCAAAATGCAGCACCAAAGATCAATGACTATAGCACTGACGAAATGAAAAATATTACCATCCCAAGCAACAGAAACCAAGAAAACACACAATTACACTGCCTGTTACTGAAATGCAAGAAAAAATCATCACACTATTGATGCATAGCAAGAATGTATAAACTGGGAAAATTTCATTTGCCTCATATAATTATCACCAAAGCATTGACATTATAGATGCAAAATTCAAAACGGCTGGAAAGGGTCTAATACGTGTTGTCGACAACTTCTGTTTCCGATAGCTCGACATGCGCCTGTTGGGCCGTGTTGGCTGGAAAAGACTTGGCCCAGTCCTGCTGCTGAGGGTGTCCGATGATTGCAGCCCTTGGACTCGGGCCTGCCGAGAAGGTTACCTTCGGCTTGCTTGGCGGCTGTGGGGTCTCCTTAGCTTGCAGATGCCTGATCCGGCGCCGCTGACCCACCAGAGCAGTGACTAGTGCCAGGACCACCACCGCCGAGGGCACCAGCGTGTAGATCAGTATCAGATTGGTGTTGGACGGGGCGCTCTCAAGTACACTGCACACGAATATCAATCGAAATATACGGGTATTTGAAGAAATTAACTCCCCTCCTCCAGACCATCTCAAAATACGTAGAGATTGTTAGTGAGAGCTATGAAACGTATCAATGTTGCAGACAGAAACATAAGACATAAATATGTCCTCGAGGTGTATGAGGTAAAAAAGAATTAACAATAATTAGTAAAAAGCACTAGTCAGCTGAAAATTTTTGCTGCAAGTCCTACCTGGACTGAGTAAGGTCATTGTCCGACGGTAATACCAACGGCACCTGCACACACCAAAATTGACAGACACACACACAAACACACACAAACACACACACACACATAAAAACACACACACATGCAAAAACGCCATGCCCCCACATACACACAAGGATATACAAGCAAACACACACACACAAACACACACACACGTGTACACACACATGTGCACACCCACACACCCACACACACACACACACACACATACACAAGTAAAATCCAGACTGTCAACGAGGCGCTTGAATCGTGCTTGCAACAGCATGTTGGGAATGCACATGATACACCAAAGCAGTACAAGACTTGTACATAATTATAGTGATGTACTTGGATGAAGACGACAAAAGTGTCCACATCCCTTGCTGCAGGCAGTACTCTACATTGTAGCTTTTTATTTATTCATCTCTACATGGGAGCTAGACCAGAGGACACGGCGGGACTGCAAGGTCGATACATGTACAATATGAAATGCCAACGCTAAAGCCTATCTTACCCTTGTCCACACGCCTGTTGTGATATTCTTGCGCCACACCTGTCCTCCTTGTCCAACTACCTCCGTCAAATCGACTGTGTAGTTTCCCGGCTCGGGGTACGCCCTGCCGTAAGGCGGTCTCAGCAGGAGAGGTCGTATCGCTTCGGCGTCTGGGAATTCCTTCACGCAGTAGTTGATCTGACAGCCATCATCAATAGCTGCCACTTTGGTAGAGTATCCATCCGGGCAGCGCTTGGGCCATGTGTCAGCTCCCTTTAGAGCGTCAAATCCAATCTGGTTTAAACACAACATCAATAGTTTTTTTAAATAATCTAGAGGTAGTCGAATCGGGAAAAAATCAATAATTCTCCTAAGTAATAATGACTTACCAAGCAACTTTGCCCGCACAATATTCTATAAACTACATAGGATAAAATGCATGCCTAAACTGAACAACATAATATTTTTATAAGTATCATACATTTCACTATCAGAGCTTGGGTCGGGTGATTTTTCAGCTTCCAATTAGAACCAGGACCAGGACCAGGATAATGTTTCTTCTTCCCAGCTATAATCTCCTGTCTACCCAACAAATAGCCCTTTCCCAAAGGTGCTCGCCCTTTTTTCGCCCTTTTTGGCCCTTTTTGGAAAAGCCCGCTTCTTTCGCCCTTTATTGCGTTTTTTGTTGAATATCGCCCTTTTTGAGCTTTTTTTAGCTGAAAAAGTGCTAAAATCTGTTTGCTCATCCATGCAATCACAGTTTCCGAGTGCTCGATGGGCCTTGGCACGCCGCTTTTTTGGGGGGCAACAAGTTGGTGAAGCTTGTACCCGGTACACAATGCTGTAAAAAGTGGGTTTTTTGAACTTTACTTCCTGTTTTGCCTTTCGTGGACCCATTAATGGAAGAGTGCGTATTCCTTTCTCAGCTTGGGTTCATATCAGAACATGTATCATGGCTATGCTTCACTGAAAAAGAAGCACTTTTTGCCTGTTTTCACTAAAAAAAAGAGCACTTTTCAGCATATTTTGAGGGACGCGAAAAGCACTAAGTGCGAATTAAAAGAGCACCTTTGGGAAAGGGCTACCCACGAAGTCAATATTCAGCCTCGATTTGCAGTTTGTACTGCTGTAGGAGGTAAACTGCAGGAGTGAATTCGTCTGAGAGTCCGATTTTTGTCCTTGATGATGCCAGCAACTCTGTTGCTGCTCATTCTGTAAAGGTTAGCTAAGGCATCGTTTTACAGCATTTCCTGAGATCATCATATAACATCTTACACATTCATGTCGACATATAGGAAATGGCTACAGTGCAATTTGTCCGCCTTGTTGCTACAGGTGGAATCCTGATAATTCGAAAATGGCTTAATTCGAACATACCGCTTAATTAGAAGTTTTTCCAGGACAGATTTCTGGCAATACGATTCCCACATAAAATGTTCTGATAATTCGAACCTCGAACCGGACATGTCCGGTTAATTCGAAGTTCCACGGATTCCACATTATATAGAAAATGTGTGGGATTTGTGGTGATAATTCGAAGTTAGCAAAGTGTGATTCGAAGTTCACTGTACACTGTACTGGTCAGTTTAGTTTGCATTAGCAGGCTGTGCCGGTCAGTTCAGTATCCGTGAAATCTGTGTCTAAGATCCATAGCGCAACTCTGCGTGACCATGGGAGCATTTTGACATACGATTGTGTTGTGCGTTCATGTTTGGATAATTAGAAGTGTTTTGCTGGCATTTGGAGGTTTCGAATTATTAGGATTCCACCTGTATAATAAGATAAGACTTATGACTTCCGATGCCGGAAAGCGGCACTCAAGCGAAATGAATATCTATTAGGGGGAGCTGCTGAATTCTCGCGCTTCTTTTCATATTATTGTAGCTATATAACTGGTTGTTTTAGTGATTCTTACTATGTGACGATGTTCCACTGATGATAGTCACGAGAAAACGTTCTGGAATTGTTTCGTTTCAATTGTTTTATACATGGTTATGATTATGGTGAAAAAAGGAGGACAACATGTTACGAGTTATGACTAACTATCCACCAACGTAACCAGATCTTATACAGTCAGCGAGTGCTTGTCAGTATTGCGCCATTTTGTTGCACTCGCTGACTGTATAAGATCTGGTTACGTTGGTGGACAGTTAGTCATAACTCGCAACATTTTGTCCTCCTTTTTCACCATAATTTAATTGGCTCACCATCCGAGTTGAACATGGTTATGAGTGCACAATTGATATTAATTTTCATTGCTATATAAGGGAAGGGAGTAACATCATGAACTATTGTACATAGAAGAATAAACTAAAGCATGATGACGTATTCCTGGCTTTTTGCATGTTAGGCCGCAACCACACTATTTAAAAATCACAGTAAAAATTGTCATGCATATCTCAGTACAAGTCGGTACGCAACCACACTACACTTTTCGGTCTGCATAGATGACGTTTTCACACGGCCAGCACGTGACGTTGTCGTACCAAAGCGTGTGCCAAGCGTTGGAAAAGACCATAGATGACGTTTTCACACGACCAGCACGCGACGTTGTCGTACCAAAGCGTGTGCCAAGCGCTGGAAAAGACCGGGAAATTCAAAAACACTGCTGATGCTGATGCTATGTACGACGACCGGGTACAAAAACGAAGTTGTACACAGGAGATGGAGCGTGATAACGACGAAAACGACAAACGTGGCTTTCTACAGGGTCAGTTGCTGAAAACCTACAAAGCGCATTTTGCATTTCGCACGCGTCAGCATGACGATTTCTACTGTAATGCCGTTTGTACGTGATTTTGTACCTAGTGTGGTTGCAGCCTAAGGTCTCACCTCCGGGACTTGCAAGTTGCAACCTAACTCGAAATTGGAAAAATAAATTTCTGTTTTCTGAAAGACATACCTCAGAAAGAAGAGAGGGCTGTGTGGATGAAGCATGAGCCAAGTACATAGGATTTCCTGTTGAGCAGCTGTAGAAGCCTGCAAATCAGAAAAATGAGATGACAGAACTGTCCTGCGGCCAAAGAATAAGCACGGTCACTGCAGAATTTAGTCATTTTCAATGGTCTTGTTGTAGTCACGATTTGAAATGCTGTGTTCAATGTTGTTAGTGCAGTTAACTGTTTATTCCCGTAGCTATGCAGAAGACGTTACTTCAGTAACGTCTGGCGCTAGCCAGGGTCCACACAGCTTTAATTTGGTGTTTGTTTGTTTGTTTGTGTCACGCCTGGCGCTATCCCGTATCTGTACCGTACTGTACCATACCAGCAAAGACAGCTGGCTACTATATGTTTGTTTGTTTGTGCCATCGACATGCCTGGCGCTATCCCCTACCTGTCCCGTACCATCAAGAGTACGGTACCATCAAGAGAATGAGTATATTATGCGAAGTGTATCGGGGGAATGCATTCAGTGCAGTAACATTTTGTGTGGATTTGTGTGCGAGGCCGAGAACCCACTAGCAGGCTGGCTGGTCTGCCTGTCGACCAGCCCGGGGATCGCATCTAGGCTGATAGCATAATAATTATAACGTATCAGATTGAGTAATTATAACGTATATACAGTCATGTAGATCTATAGCAGGGAGTCATATTATGTAAACGACTCCCAGCTGTATGGGGAGATTTTCTGAAAAAAAATACGAAATAGGGAGACGAGTGAATGCAATCAGAAAATCTCCCCATACAGCAGGGAGTCATATTATGTAAACGACTCCCTGCTGTATGGGTAGATTTTCTGAAAGAAATACGAAGTAGGGAGACGAGTAAATGCAATCAGAATGGATGTTAGTTGCCGTCAGTATAATAATAAAAGAAGAAGAACGCCCTTGATCGGCAGAGTCAGCGCCGGTCCCAAGAAACGTCAGGACAGACATCCCGTCGACTCCAGAACGTCCGTGATCGGCAGAGTCAGCGCCGGTCCCATAGCTATGCAGAAGGCGTTACTTGTACTTCAGTATCTCATTGAAACGTTTTTGCAATACAATGATGTTGCTAATCAAAGGAAAAAGCATTTCCATCAGTTCTAACAACATGCACGATGAGCTAGGCAACAAAGCATAGCGCAGGGCCCTGAGCTTCCAAGCTCTCTCATTAGTAGTCTTCGCGGTTGTGCACTGGGACGTAACACCGACAGGAGAAAGCTGGGGTGCGGAGACATCAGCAGACAAGTGAAAATAGTGACGAATCGAGTGCAGAAATCTTGGTTGGGGCAAATCAAACGGACAGCTTTCATCCCAATCAAAGACCATGCCGTTTGCTCTTTCCACTTCCTGAAGATGGATATGATGCTGACTGGCGACTCTTCTATCTCTCGTCACATCTTCTGAAGCCAGATGGGACGACGACGGGGGGGGGGGGGGGGGGGGGGGCGGAGATTGACGAACAACATAATGTCGTACCTTTATGAAAGTTTGCTGGAAATTTATCAGGAGAGATGGCGAATACCAAGCATCTTCTCCGACAGGAATCATTTCCTAGGCTACGGTCAGCCACGGGAAATGCATGAGAAGGCTGAAAAACAGTTCACGGCACTAACAGCATTGAACACAGCCCTTCTTTCACATCGTGAATACAAAAGAAATTTGAAAATGGCAAAATTCTGCAGAAGAAGCATGTTGTTGCACTCAAATCGTTTTGTTTTGACAAAACGATTAAAAGTTCTTCCCTTTTTTCCACAGTTTGTTTCTCTTACTTCACAGTTGTCACATTCTGGTTTTCTCACCTTCTCTTGTGCCACCTACTTACCATTTTCGTTGCTTGCTTGTAAGGTTTATCACATTATAGAATGCATTATTAAACCATTGTTTTTGCTTGGCTAGCCTTCAATTCAGTCACGATATTCCACTGATGATAGTGACATGAAAATCGACTCATGAAAACATTTGACATCGTTGATGCTTGATGATGACGGCAGAGTTACATCTTTTTATTGCTTTATTAAAATTGTTGTCTCCGCGACGTTTATTCATGCATTCAAATAGTTCAGCGTACCTGCAAATGAACGTGCATGCTCAAATCCACGCTGGTAATCATTACTGATACACAGCGTCATTCCCTTGCCCATGGTGACACCATAGAAGTACGACGGACAATTCGGCAGCTCAGTTACCGGGTTGGGAAACTGGTCGGAGTAGATTCCTCCGAAGAGATATCCGGACCGGGCTGATGCTTGGCCCAGTTTCGCACACCAGTAGGTCTGATAGACGGCGTCAGATGCCAAGTAGGCCTCATAGCATACCTGGACATGCACAGTAAAGTTACCAGCAGGAATCACACGTTAGTAACCCTCAAATCCGGCACAGGCAATGCAATCTGTTCACTGAGGTATGATATAGCCAATTTGTGCATATAGTCAATATACAAGGGCACACAATGAAAACCTTGGCAAATTCCGCTGTGACTCAATCATCAGCCATCAGCCACCGTTGTCTGATGATTGGTTCAGCCATACAACTCTGAGTCACAACGGAATTTGCCAAGGTATTTATTGTGTGCCTTTGTGTACGCCCTCTTCCTGAATGAGGTATTGAGCACTTTCACAGAACCTAAGCCCATTGCCTCCGTGTATAACCAGTATGACCTTTTGCTTTGATCGGGTTTTTTCTTCTTCTGACAAACGGCATTGGACTTACTGTCTTGGTGCAGGAATATGGAATGATGAGAAGGGCTCTACATGTTGCTCGGACTGTTGTGCAATACGTTGTGTGCCAGTTTATCGTTTTGCTGCCGGTATGGAAGTGCACTGGCTCATACGCTGGAGGACACCTGTAGTCACCTGCAGCCAAGAGCACAGCAGCACAGAGATATGGTCGGGGAAAGCAAAGTTACCACATCAAGGCCCCAATACAGGAAAACCTGTAACTAAAGACCACCGCGACTAGCGACCAGCCTGGTACTACACACCACTTTGCCAGGCACGGACTCAGCGTATCACATTCATTATGGTTGTGCGGTCTAAAACCTCTAACTAAGGACCAGCTGCCACTAAAGACCGCTTTCTCCGGTCCCAAGGGGTGGTCGTTAGTCACAGATTTTACTGTACTTGTAGATCCTGTTTGTTTGGACGAAGTGTCTATATGCAGCAGAGTAGCAACAGGCTACTCATCCAAAACTGGCATTCTAACTTTTTGGCGCCTGCCCGTGTTGTTGGATATATCGTGAATGAAAACAACAGAAACCCCTGCATTGTTAGACCCGTGCAATTGAAGTACCACATTAATGGCAGGACAAATCCTAGGAGAGGGAAATGAAGATTCAGCAAGGTTAAAAAGAACCCACATTCATGGTAATCTTGATTGGGCAATCCCAAGGACTCTTCATATCACCAATTTGTTCACGTTTCCCCTCATCGCTGAATGCAGATCGCAAAGCACGCGACGTATAGCTTTTCTACAACTCATAGCAGAAAATCACCTACCGGTACTTGGATTCTTCTGCAAGAGGTCTTGACAGAAATCCGTTCTGCCCTGACCATGCAGGACATTACAGGTCTGATAAATGCCACCAAACGTGTAATTATGTGGAACAGGATGGCACATTGAACGATCTCCAGTGTTTGCCTGTCGCAGTATTCAGTGAAACAAGGCAAATATTCATTACATATCAAGGTAAAGTGACTGAATTCCAATGAAAATTGTGGACAGCGGTCGCGTTCTGGCCACAGGCATGCCTAGAGTGTTGGCCATTCAAACAAGAGGTTGCCGATTCGGTGACAAGTGTGCTTGTCTGGGATTGGGCACCTGAGCTCGGTTAAGGAGAAGAGGAGTATTGCTGTTGGAGAAGTAGCGTTTGTTGCTCATTTTCACTGCTTGAGGGAATGGAAATGGGCTCATTTTTGAGGAATTTCTCCAAACTCGTGTAAAAGGTGTATGTGGTAAATAGCAATGCATCTTTAAAATGCCATAAGCTTGAACTCCTGTCGTGATAGCGCGGTGCATAGGAGTTGCACAATCGCAGGTTATATACTCTTGGTATCCTGGATGTGGCAAATGTGGTCGTCGGTCTTTGGCCACTTGGTGGTGGGTCTGATCTACTCACATTCCATCAGTTGAGGAGCTGCAGCTGTGCTCCGATCATGGTGTGTGGTGGCATTCCTGTGGATGCGGACAGCTCAGTCTCTTTGAGTTTCACGAGAGCCATGGTATATATTTATATATTTCTTATGCATTGGAGCTGAGCACACATTGCGGCTTTTTCGAAACCGGCAACTAAACCCAATCACAGACCACTTACCTTGAAGTTGAAGCCTGCAGAGTCGACATCTGTGCACCCCTGGTGTATGTTAATGTCAGTGTATTCCCTGGCCGCCTTTGCCAATGCGTTAGATATCTGACAAGTGCCGGAAGAAAACGGAGAAATATGCTTAGAATGAGTAAGATGATGCATGTTACAGGGGCGCAACTTCCTAGATCCACAGATGGCGCCATGACAAAATCACCCCGCGGCAAACCCAGCAATAAAGCTAAATTTATATTAGAACCCAGGCAATAAGAAAGTTTGTAAAGTACTTCAGAATCCTTTCATTTGCTCGAGCATAGTGGAAACGTGCCCACAGTACATAGTGCCTCATCAATGCAATGCAAAGCGCAGGTCATAACATTTTTAATATTAATCTCCACCAGCGAATCACAAGGAAATGTAAAATTGGGCATGGGATTTTGTTCTAAGTAAGACTTGTTCCTTTCCTTTTCGCAAACTCACCTGCCTCACGGTGGGTGCTGGAAGCTCTGGAACAGAGTACGGTGTCACTACATACTGAATGGGATCTCCCCAGCGGTCAATGCCCACCAGAGAGCGTTCCAAATCCGCTCCCCATTCAGCGACAGTCATATTTGATTTGTAGGGCCGCCCGCCAATTGTCCTAACCAACGGTAGAAACACAACAGAAGCTCCAATATAATAAAGTGCCATTAATGGCGATAATTGGCTACATCCGAATAAAAAAGAAAATTATCGTGCCCGTTCCCGAAGCGAACTCACGACGGCCGCTAACACCCGGTACATCTAGCCAGCAGAAAGTGCATTTTGTTTCACAGTCACTGGCAATGTATCCTCACAGTAATAATACACGATGTGTTCCCTTCGTGTGGACACGCCTAAGCATATTTTCCACCCATTCTGAGTTGTTAAACAATGGCAAGTTACGCAGGCCCTTTATCTTGCATTCTCTCTCATTCGATCTCTCTCTTCCAAAATGCAGTCATTTCGTTTGTCTTTGTCTCCGTCTCTTCGTCTCCCATTTCTGACAACTATGGCAAAGAAGCGGGAAATGCAATTTTGAGTACAGAGTATCTTACACTGTCTGGACGTCTGAGCCTTAGCACACCTGTCACAGTTCAAGGCCTAGGCTCTCATCAGGAAACATTGGATGCAGCTTGAGCACTGATTAAACTCACCTGGTCAGAGACTGCGTGACATTGGTCTCAAATTCCGCCATCTGCTTTTTTGATATATGGTACGAAAACTTGTAACCAGACCCGGTGAAGAGACTTGCACTAACTGAAGATCGGACATTAGCAGTTGTGCGGGAGGAGCTTTTGGCATACTTTCTGGTGACCTGAAGGGAAGAATTCCACATGCAAATTTGCAACATAAATTCAAAATTTGTTTATGTTGTCATGACTTTGTGGAATGATGTGAGTACTCCAACGCGACATCATCATGACATCAATATAACATAATTATGTAGTTGAGGGGTGGTGATAAATTCAAAATTTGTTTATGCTGTCATGACTTTGTGGAATGATGTGAGTACTCCAACGCGACATCATCATGACATCAATATAACATAATTATTCCCGTAGCTATGCAGAAGACGTTACTTCAGTAACGTCTGGCGCTAGCCAGGGTCCACACAGCTTTAATTTGGTGTTTGTGTGTTTGTGTGTTTGTGTCACGCCTGGCGCTATCCCGTATCTGTCCCGTACCGTACCGTACCATCAAACACAGCTGGCCACATACAGCTGGCCGCACTATTCAAATAGGGGTTTCAAACACTAGATCATAACGTGAAGCAACTTGGAAGAATAGAGAGGTTCCGGGGTACGATTTTCCGTGCCAAAATCCGTATGGGCGCTACGGATTTTTTCCAGGCGTGCTCCATACGATTTTTCGGCACGGAGAATCCGTGTGGACTGGCTTTCATACGAGCCATGTTTCGTATGGAGATGTTGCGTCATCAAGGTCATCGGGTGCAGAAAGATTTTTCGCGTACAAATTTGGTACGAGAAACATCGATTTTTCGCGGGAAGTTTTGATTTCGGTACAAATTTTCAAAATAAAAAGGCATAGCGCGGGAATATAGTAGTAGTAGTAGTAGTAGTAGTAGTAGTAGTAGTAGTAGTAGTAGTAGATTTTATTATTTTACTAGGGGAGTCCCAACAGGCGTTGCCTTTTTACTGGGAACCCTAGGTGAATTTTTACCATGTTTACATACAGAGTAAGAGACGGGGCCTGACGGCAGTCAGTGGGAAGAGCATTCCATCTGTCTGCCGCCAGGAAAGAAATAGAACGCATGCCATATTGCGTAGAAACAGGCGGAAGAACTAATGCGCGCTGTGCCTGGCCGCGCGTGCGAGCCTGGTGTCCAGGCACAGCAGCCCTAAGCTGGAACAAGGATTGGAGAAGGGGACTAGCAAGATGTGGGGTCAAGCAGCGGTACACGAAAACATAGAGTTTAAGATTTGTGCGCTGTTCAAAAGAATAGAGATGATATTTGCGGAGAACAATTTCAGTAGACATCATACGGTCAAACCCAAAAACTTTCTTCATTGCTATGTGACTGACCGTCACGATTTTATTGAACAGGGTGGCGCTGAAACAGTGCAGATAAGCGTTACTGGCATAGTCGAGAGTCGATTGCACAATGGATAAATAGAACGTCCTCTTCGCTTCAGGTGTTAGGTTTTTTCGGCCATGTCTGAAGGCGGCAATCTTGCCGAACACCGCACCGCAGACCTTCTCGACTTGCGGCTGGAAGGTGAGATGCTCGTCGATGAGTAGTCCGAGATACTTCACGGTGGCTGCAGGGGTGAGGGGCTTGCCTTTACAAACTAGGGGGATTGGTAGATGCGGCACAGGTTGGCGTGGGCGCCGAAGGACCAGGAACTGCGTCTTGTCAGGGTTCATGAGAAGTCCTTTGTCATCAAGGTAGAGCTCCAGAGCGCTAAGGTCATCCTGAAGCTTTCGCAGCATGACAGAGAGGTCCGTTCCAATGACGAAAAAGGCGATGTCGTCGGCATAGAGCTGAGAAATACTGTTCCGAACAATCTGTGGAACCTTGCGGATGTAGACGCAAAAGAGGAGGGGGCCAAGGACGGACCCTTGCGGAACTCCCCTGGTGCAGGGCACAGTCCCACCACGCTCCCCATTGACCACGACTTGTTGACTTCTGGAGGACAGATAGTCCGCGAACCACTTCAGCACCGAGCCGCCTAGCCCTACGTCAGCCAGCTCGTTGACCAGTTGTTGATGCTGTACACGGTCGAAAGCCTTGCTCATATCTGCGAACAGTATCGCGCATCGCTGGCCATTGTCCAGTGCTCTTGTCCACCTGTCTATGGAAACAGCGAGGGCATCTTCGCAACTGTGCTTTGGACGGTACGCAAACTGCTCCAGCGGCAAGGCGGACAGCTCTGGGTGGTCACGGAAGAATTCAGTAATCTGCCGGTGGACAACCTTCTCCAATATCTTGGAGGCAACGGGCAGCAGAGATATTGGCCGGTAGTTGGTGGCTGCAAGTTTGTCCCCGGACTTGAAGAGTGGGCACACGTGTGCATGCTTGTAAGAGGCTGGAAAAACGCCAGAAAGTAGGGACTGATTGATTATGGATGTTAGTGAGGCCGTGATATTTGCTTTGCATGACTTTAAGATGCAGGGAGGAATGCCATCCGAACCCGCGGCCTTGTGGGAGTTTAGAGTAGTCAGTAGAGCCTCAACTGTTTCAGTGTTGACCAAGGTGAAGTCAGTCAGGGTGCTAACGTTAGGTGCTGTCGGATCCCTGTCGGCTGGTATCTGCAACACTCCTGGCCTGGCTGGGTCGTGGACAACTGCCGCAAATGTTGCAGTGAGTGCTGGAAGTGGCGCTGCAGGGGTGGATTTCGTGGTGGCTCGACCAGAGAGCTTATTTAAGAGACACCACTGGCCTCTGGGGTCACGCTTCATGTTTCTGAACTGTTGCATTAGGAACTCCGACTTCAGGCGCCTGTTCAGTAGTGTCCCTTCCCTTCTCACTGCCCGGTACCGTTGCATTAGTTGTTGATCAGAGGGACGTGACCGAACCTTTCTGTGCAAATGCTTACGCTGCTGTAAAAGATATCGCAGGTGAGGAGTCAGCCAGGGTTGAGGTTTGGGTTTGCTGAAGGATGGTACGCAGATGCGACGGACGGGGCAAAGTTTGTCGTAAGTTGACGTGAGGACGGCTGTTAGGCTGTTCGCCAAGATATTTACATCTGTTGCAAGGGGGAATGACGTCAGTTGTTCGTCCACGGTTCGGCATAGAGCGTCCCGGTCTATTTCTGTGGCGCTCGGCTTCCTGATATTGGTGTAGAGTGGACAGGTAGACATAGTTGGATATGTTAGGTGGGTTATAACTAGGTCGTGGTTGCTGATACCGTCCACAGGGTGCACTGCTGTCTGTGTAAGCTGGACTCCAGTGGAAACAAGTACCAAATCGATGCAGGTCTGCCCATGACGAGTGGGAGCAGTGACAACATTCCTGAGATCAAACTCGCAGCACATATTCCGGAGATGTTTGTAGTGTCCACTGCGAGGCTGCAGAACATCCGTGTTCAGGTCACCGAGGACAATAATGTTCGAAAACTGACGTAGAATGTTGTCGAGTTGGAGGCTGAAGAGTTCCCAGAACTCGACCTTTGCGTTGGGTGGACGGTACACGCTGCACACAACCAGCTCGTTGGATTTGGGTTTGGAAGACGGTATGCGAACACGTACAAATATGCACTCCACTCCCGGTATACATTGCGTTGGGGCAGAAGAGGAAACAAGAGACGCGTGCACATACATGCATACTCCTCCGCCATGTAGATCTCTGTCTTGTCGATACAATGTGTAGCCAGGAACGTGTAAAAGAGAATCGGGAATGCTGCTGTCCAGGTGTGTCTCGTTAATGGATAGAATGTGAATTTTATGATCGTGCAAGAGTTTGTGAATATCCTGAACCTTATTTCTGAGACTACAAATATTTATAAGAGCTAAAGTGACATTACGAGAAGTATTAGTGTGAGCAATGATCCGGTGGCTTACCGACGAGGTGGTAGGATTCGAGGGACTCCCAGGACGATCCTATTGCGTGCCGGGATGTTCCAGTGCACCCCTGTCAGCAGAGCCTCGTTCCTGCAGGAGGTGTGTGATCTGCTGGGGGGTGTACGGTTTGTACGTTTCGTCGAGAATACCGTCGTACGGCATTGAGCACTTCACGCCTCTACGTCGAAGCTCCTTGTAGCTCGTCACGTTGTTCTTCCTGGCTGTCTGTTGCTGTCGTGTCAGGTCATTGGCCATATATATGGGAGTTCCATCTTGTAGTTTGAGGTTGAATCGTGTACGGTATACGGCAGACTTGCTGGCTTGGCTTTTGAATTTGATCCGTACAGGACGGGGACCTCGAGACCGCTCAGTTCCAATCCGTTCTGCGTGCGCGACTTCATAGGAGTCTATCTTCAGGATCCGGATGCAGTCGTCAAATAGGCTGTTGTCCGCTTCCGGGATGCCGCGAACAATGGCGTTGTTGCAGCGCTGTTGACGGTCAACTTCTTCCTGCACCAAAGCAGCAAAGTTGACGACGTTGCACGTGCCAACAACCCCTTCCGGGGGCGGCATGTCCTTTTCACCGTTCGTACAGTACGCTGCCGTACCTGTACTCTCAAGACGAGTAAGGCGAGCCTCGAAGATGTCCAGCTTCTCCTTCAATGCCCGATTTTCGGCCATTACAGCATCGATCTTGGCCGAAAATTCCAATGACATGACATCGAAGCGCTCCGTAAGAGCACGTTGCTCCCGCAGGATGTCAGAGAGGAGACTCTGAACACTGTCCTCTCCCTTGGCATTGCTATCGGTCTCCAGGGACACTTGCGCGCGAATCACGTCAGGTGGTGTGCTGGCTTGCGTTTTTCGGCTTGTTGCTGACAGCTTGGATGGCGTGGACTCAAGGCTGGGACTGCGCCTCGCTGGAACCTTTGCGGCAGCCTTTGCGGCAGCACTTCTATAGGTTTGGGACATGACAGAACAGACGTGGAGTCAAAATCACGCCTGGTTCGCCAAAAATTCCGGAGCTTCAAAAAATGCAACCAGGCGGCATTATTGATATTCAGCAGCAGGAATATGACGTGTTTGCGATCGTAACCTAGGCAATGACGGCAAACACATAAGTAAGTTTAGTTCCGTACCCCGGAACTTTTCACTGCTCGAAAACGACGTATGAAAAATCCGTAGAGCCTCCACGGATTTTGGCACGAAAAATCGTACTCCGCGGTCCGGAACCTCCCTAATGAGTATGAATGCGAAGTGTATGGGGAAATGCATGTAGGGCGATAGTGTGGGTTCGAATCCCAGGTACATGTAATGCCCGAAAAAAATAGGAAAATTGAAAAAATTATAACATCCCTATTCCTTTTTTTGCCGTCATCAAGGCGGTAGATGGTGTCGTATTGCCCTCGACCGTACCTGTCCCGTATCTGTCCTGTCCCGTACCTGTCCCGTACCATACCGTACAATCAAAGACGCCTGGCCAAAATGCATATTCAAATAGGGCTTTCAAATACAAGATCATAACGTGAAGCAACTTGGAAGAATTAGTATGTATGCCAAGTGTATCGGGGGATGCATGCAGGGCGATAGTGCGGGTTCGAATCCCTGGTTATGTCTAAAACAAAAAGTAGAATTTTATAAGAATTTATAACATTCCTATGCTTTTTTTGTCTAGGTCATCAAGGCAAAAAAGCATAGCGCAGGGCCCTGAGCTTCCAAGCTCTCTCGTGTAGTTGAGGGGTGGTGATGGTGGTGAAAATACACCTTCTCTCCTATAATGCTTCCGAAATTGATGTCTTCACATCGTTCTGCGAAGTCAAGCTCCATCTGCCTCGGTGACTGACGAGTCCAGGAAGGACGAAACAGAGATAAGGAGGTTCGCGACGGTTAGCGCCATGTTGGATTTCCGATTTTTTTCTGAAAAATAATGCCTTTCGGAGTGGAAAAATGGGACGCGATCTTGCACAGAAAATAGTTTGACCATGGCTTCGCAGCGCGTGCACGAGTCGAGACAAGATTTGAGTAAGAAGCTCAGCCACTAGTGGACTTGCGGATTTGTTTTGACATTGGCGGTTTTTGGATAGCTCGGTTCTCCTGCCGACGTGTCGTGGAGATGAAGACGCGGGAGAGTAATCCGTCACCCACGACGCGGCCTCTCATTCTGCGTACTGGACGATGCAAGAAGCCGAGGAGGGGGACGCTTCGCAAACTCAAACAATCGATCGAGTTTCTGAAAAACGGAAAGGGCTACTGGATTCGACTCCCGCGAAGAGGTCGTTCAGTGCCCCTCTTCACGGTCGACGAATCGTTCATCTCAGGTATCTGGCTGTGGGATTGTCTGCGTGCCAGAATCCTGGATGTGGCAAACCTCTGGCGCTCATTGATTGCGTTGAAGAGAAGAGGTACAACCTGGGCAGCGTACTTGTCATTCCGTGTCAGCAGTGTGGGATGGAGAATTTTATAGATACAGATAGCCCTGTAACTGCTCAACACCCTGGCCCCCGTGCTTCCACAAGCAACACCAAAGCTGCTTTGGGTAAGTGCGTTTTTCAATCTCATAAGATTTATTCATGATATTTGCGAGTCATTGCCACCCTATGGCTATGGAAATGTATGAGCACACTGTATGCGCGGCGGCGCGGCCGCGAGCGTCTGTGTGTTTGCATAGACCTGCATGTTTGTGCATGTGTGCACCATACGCATGTATGAACATGCACATGCATATGCGCTCATGTGGACGTGCCCTCGCACACATACTATACACACGTGCATGACCGCTCCCAGGGCATGTTGGTGTGACATGTGTATGCGGGCATCTCCACTCATGCACATGAGTGTGCACATGCATGTGGGTGGGTACGCACACGTGCGTGAATGTATGTGTGTGTACGCGTGCGTGTGTTCTATTGCGTGTGAGAGCATGCATGTGTGTGTGTTTGTGTGCGTGTGTGTGTGTGTGTGTATGTGTGCACGGATGTGTGTGTCAATGGTGTGCATTTTGTGATTGGTGAACACTCTGATCCCTAAACCGCGATACCGGAGCTCCCAAGCTACAGCCTTAGATTGATTTATAGTTCATCGTTGGGAATGAGTTCGCTGCTCATGATGCTGTTGCGGATGTTGCGGCCCTAGCTGAAATTGTCGAAGCTCGCCCTGATGCCAGTATCCTGTAGCACTCTGTCACTTTTGCATCAGCATGTTCGGCGATGGAGTTTGCAGAACATCAGCAAAAGCGGCTGGCCACCCTTCAACCGTTGGTCCAAGCAACATGCTTCTCTAAATCAGTTGCAGTGCGGGCAGCTGCCAGTGGGTTGGTGATGAAGCACTTTGTCTTGTCCTACAAACGAAGTGGTGAGCCAGCCATTTCCAGACTGATGAAGGAGCAAGTCGGAGGTAAGAAGCGGGTGACAGTCTCAAGGAATATTATATTAGTGGTGGCTGAACACCTAGCGAAGAACCAGCAGCAACCCAACTGTAAGGAACGCCCTGTGGCACAGTGCTTCACTTGTTTGTGCGCACCGTAAAATACCATCATTTTTGCCAGTGTGGGGACACGTTCTAGCTCACATAGTTGAAGAACAAGAGGACTCAATGTTGTCTGATTCGTTCCAACATGTCAGCTTTCATTGTAGTTTGATATGGGGCAGTGCTAAGCGCTATCATAGCTACATGTACATGTATCACAACCAAGTGCCAACAGGAGAGTAATCATGGAGAAAAGTACCTATCGATAATGCGTGCACCCAGGGTTTTCCGGCAAATTTACTAGTTCAGCTATTCCATCCTTGTATTGTTCTGAACGCCGAGGGCTCTAGTGAGTTTATGCAACACCTAACAGCCAAAAATCCAATAAGTTATGACCAAAGCAGCAGCAGAGAAGTACAAGCAATATAGATACGTGAATTTACCAATTTTAGGCAAATTTTGACAGTTTTTTGGATTTTTCTCCAGAATATGCACGGTGACCCCTATTTTCGCCGCGGTAAACCTGTTCCAACCCACTTATAGAACGTGTTTGAAGTATCCACATATGGGGCAAACTCAAAAATATGCTGCAAAAAATATTCAAAGTTTCATTTTTTGCGTCTTTTTGTTCTTCTCCAGGAAATGACGACCTGGATCCCATCGTCAACTAAAGTGTACATTTTTCGGTGTTGATATCATCTTAGTCAATACCTCGAACAGTCTGTACAATTTTATGTCATATTTTCTGTCCTAACTGATGTTATGGACGATTTCTCATCAATTTGGGGATTTTGTGTCATTTTGTGTCATCAAGGAAAATTGTGTTTTTGGCAAGACCTATTCAGGCAATTGAAAAACTGATGTTACTAAGCGAAAATATAAGGCTGTACCTATTCAAACCTGATGTCAGATTGGGCTGATGTTGAAATTAAATTTTTGGGCCTAACTGTCCCGAACCCCATACATTCTGCACTGCACCCTCACAACATCAATGTTTCACCTGCAGGCACATACATTTTTGGTGTGTAGATAAAGAAATGGAGCAGAATTGGGGGAAGTGTCTGCCACAAGGGATTGTATGGTTCTGCCAATTTCGCGATTGTTTTGCGAGCAAATTTTATCCACCAATGGCTACAGTGTTCTGAGTAATGGAGAGGTCCCTATACAGTAAATCCTGTAACTAAAGACCACCGTGACTAGCAATCAGCCTGGTACTACAGACCACTTCGCGAGGCACGGACAGTACCACATTCAATATACGGTTGTGGGGTGCAAACCTCTAACTAAGGACCACCTGCCACTAAAGACCGCTTTCTCTGGCCCCAAGGGGCGGTCGTTAATCACAGGTTTAACTGTTTTCATGGTTGCTGACTGATCAAGGCACCCGTCTACCCATATGAGATTAAGATCAAGGAAATTTCTCTCACCTGTACTTCTCGCTGGAAAATCCCACCTGCCGTGACCCCTGTGATCATATGGGTTCCAAAGTCTCTGATGATGAGCTCAATCTCGTGCGTGGCAGCCTGCGTTTTGTTGTTGTGCATCAGATCACCGATGACCAGCAGCCGGTTCCTGAGCTGGCGGGAGATCGACGCGTCCGGCTTGATCTTGACCTGGTAGAACTCTTGACGGATCTCTGCACGCGCTGTCACTGAGTTATACTTGACCTGCAAGACCACAGATCACACAAGTCAGCATGCAAGAAAAAACGATCTGCTTACATAAGGGATGGATGTGGAGCCAATATTATCATAAGGACCAAAACGTTACCTTGGTGGACTGATAGTCATAATTCGTAAATTGTTGGTCCTTTCACTTCACATAAAGCAGTTTGCAGAATTCAGTGAAAATAATTTAGCCATGTCCATAGACTAACTGCTATGGTGGCTCACTAAAGCAGTGGAGACTCTTGAAATCCCGTCACAACAGCACCGGAAAAATGATGTCACGTTGATAGGAGAGGAGTACTATTGAATTCGTATCCTCCTGGGCATCACATTAATCAACCTGTTTTCCCCATTAATATTATTGTTTTCTGATGTCAAGTGATATCAAACAAAAGTGAGAAAACGCCTTTTGGATAAATGTGCAGTAACATCACTTCAAAACGTGTAGGCTTGGTGAGACTGTACTGCTGAACTGCAGAGATACTCAAACTTAAAATTGAAAATAGAGTGGCCCACATAGCTCACGAATCCTGAGTTCTCATATGGACTTATGGCATAGTCATTCATGTGGAAAAAGTGGAAAATTGATGTATATTTTTATGAGGCATGTCAGTCAGGGTTGTGATAGGTCATCACTTTCTATTCCACTGAATGGCATAATTTCAAATGGGTAAAATCGCTCATTGTGATCACTGTGTTGAACGATCTCTGCTGGGATGACAGCGACACAATAGCTCAGTGGTGAGAGCCTCATGTGAAGGTCCCTGGTTTGAGTCCTGGACATGACAGTCAATTTTCTTCTGCAGACTTTTCCCCTTTCCACACCCTCAGCCTATGAACATGTGGTGAAAGTAAAAAGTAAATAATAATTATTATTATCGTGTCCGTTCACGACAGCCGCTAGCACCCGGTAAACCCTAGAATGAACAGGTGAAAACTTACCTGATTTTTCTTGTTTCTTTCGTAGTCTGAAGAGAAGCTGCCACTGACTATTGGAGTGCTCACGTCGAGACTCATTGACAACGATGTGCTGCTCTCATAGCTGTTAAAAGAACCAAACTCCTCCGAATACTGCTTGACCTAGTTTTCACAATGACACACAGACAGGTAAGGGGAAAGTTCGTTTCCAAGAAAACAAGTTCGATCGACGGTCTCCTAAGCACACTTGTACATATGGTATGCTTACTCATTTGACCCAGTGCCAGACCAGTTCCCATGCAATAATATATTTTTTTGGAAACTAAATTTAGTAAATTAGGCTCATACATCTGTCGATAGAGCTACATGTAAACTGTATTTTGTTCACAACAACAAAACGCTAGAGAGATTTGATATGCTGACACCACGAGGTCAATAGGAGCTTCGAATGAAGTTTACATTCAGTACTAGTACAGTGGTCCCTCTATAATCCGGCACCATTTGTGCCACGGAAATCTGCTGGTTTATCGATTATAAAGTGCTGGATTAGAGAGGGACGACTGAACTTTAATTTCAATACACCGAAAAATGCTGGGAAAATTCGTATTTCTTGGTTAGAATTTGTTAAAAGAGAGCCTTGTACTTACCTTGCTTCCTTTGATAGGCACCGCCTCCATCGTGTCTGGAATGATATAGATTCCATCCGGAGTGGTCTGGCACAGCTCATAGCTGACTTCAGGCATGAATCCCAGCGTCTCATGGCTCAGTGCGTCCCATCCAAAGCCCGGCAAGATCTCCAGTCGAAGCTTGGCACCTGCGATATGCATGTGTAGCAAGCAAGGACAAACAAAGGATTGGAGGTGGTGTAAATTTTTCAGCGACTGTAATAATTCACCATGGCTACCACTATTAGCATTTCATTTTCCTTTTCAGAGAATCTCTGCATTTTGATTTTAGGACTATCTTTAGACTGAGAAGCTGACTTTCGAGTTTCAATTATTTCAAGTATTTAACTGCTGTAGACTGCTTCTTTCTGTTCACGTTTCCCGAAACTTCGACTGTACTGCCCTGCCGATTCTAGAACCCAGTTATCGAAAAATGAAAAGGCGACGAGGAGACAATAACTTTATCAATGCGATTAATAGTATTAGTGAAGCGGACATTACAAAATGATGAATGAGAATACATGTATCTAAAATGGTTGTTCCTAATCGATTTTCTTGAGACTATCATCAGGGAAAATCGTCTCACAATAGAGGCTATACGGAGAAACAAACTACTTATAGGTTATTGGATAGTGGGAAGTATACAAGGTGAGGTGTGAAAAAACTAAAGTGGGAGAGAAGACGAAAGAAATTAGAAGAAAAGATGTGAGAGTGTTCCCGACGGTGTGAGCTACTACATAAGGTGAGTGAAATGAAGGCGTGGAAGCAGGTGAATGTGATAGAGTGAGGAACTGTGAGTCTTTACTACGGCCCGTGCGTTCACGGTGAAGAAGGATGTTCTTCCTACCCAACTGATTAGCCATGTAATCTATCATTTTGAATGTCGGCATTGTGATAGCCGATATGTAGGAAGAACCCTTCAGCACCTGAACGCACGCGTCAAACAACATGTACCATTGTACCTATTGTCAGATGGAGCCAAAGTCCAGCGACCTGGACGAGGCCGTCCCCGCAAACAGGTGCCAGTTGAACAATTACAACAGAACCACACAGTACCGGTTGAACGTACTACAAGTACACAGGTACGTGAGACTGAAGGAATTGGCCAAACACAGGTACGGGGACCGGTTACAAGGAGCATGACTCGTGCGCTGGTAATGACATCTACAACCGGACATGGACTGGCAGCGAGCAGTAGCGTGGGATTGTCGTTGGGTGCAGAGGACGGGATGGAAGAGGAAGAGGATGAGGAAGGTGAGAGCAGTGATGAAGAGAGTGAGTTGGACAACCAAGATGAAGATGACCGGACTGAAGGTGAGACCACAACGAAAGGGTCAGCCATTAAGAAACACCTCTTGTCTAGTAGCCAATGCCGCTCAGTGTATGATGATTCATGCTTCACTGTTTTGTGTCGTGCTCGTAGGTTTCGTGAACTTAAGGTATTAGAAGCTGTTTTCATCCGTAAACACAATCCTAATCTATGCATTCAGAAAGAAAATGTCACAAAACTGAGACTCTTCACCTAGCATTCACACACGTATTCATTCGCATACACCTACACCTCACAGTTCCTCACTCTATCACATTCACCTGCTTCCACGCCTTCATTTCACTCACCTTATGTAGTAGCTCACACCGTCGGGAACACTCTCACATCTTTTCTTCTAATTTCTTTCGTCTTCTCTCCCACTTTAGTTTTTTCACACCTCACCTTGTATACTTCCCACTATCCAATAACCTATAAGTAGTTTGTTTCTCCGTATAGCCGCTATTGTGAGACGATTTTCCCTGATGATAGTCTCAAGAAAATCGATTAGGAACAACCATTTTAGATACATGTATTCTCATTCATCATTTTGTAATGTCCGCTTCACTAATACTATTAATCGCATTGATAAAGTTATCGAAAAATATTCAGAAATTCGAAATTCAGAAGTGGTCCCTCTTTTGTCAGCATTCGCAAGCAACCACACACTGTGGCCCAGCCCGGCTCTCGCTGCTCAAGATGCACAGGCGGATGTAACACTAGTAGTACAACTGCAATGACAGCAGCCACCAGATCAGAGTCATGCAAGACGACAAGAGTTCTCCGATCAAAAACAATTCATGAAAAAAGAAAGAAAGAAAAAGTGGATCAAAAGACTCAGGATTCTCATGACTAGACTCCGCCTTGACTGTGCTGTATCCCAGCGAAGCGCTACCTAAGTAACAGTTGATCAAAAGACTCAGCATACTCATGACTAGACTCCGCCTTGACTGTGCTGTATCCCAGCGAAGCGCTCCCTAAGTCCTCACCTGTGCTGTTTACACACGTGTACCACAGTGGATGGGATGGTGTGAGCTTCTCGGCTGGAACAGAACTCGGTGACGCAGCCAGTTCATACTGCGTCTGTGCTCCGTCGTCATCCTGAGTCTGAGAATCCATCTGCGCAACCGTGGACTCAGGAGCCTGCCGTAGACCAGTGGATGCATGCACCAGGCCATATGGGGCCTGTATCAGAAGCGCGATGGCCACGAAGTAGTTCAAGACATCCATTTCTAAAGACACACAGTGACATGCAGTACATGTATCCAATGAAGGTGCAAGAGGTTTGTATTTTGTGGAAGTAGTGATCAGTGATCAGGGAATAGGGTGAGCCGATGTTCAACTTTTGTGCTTCTCATTTGGGCCGGAGATTGTGTTGGAAAGAGTTAGGTGCCGGGTAGTCTCTTGTCACCAAGGCAGGTAATAGAACACGGTCAAGATCAAATACTTCAAGGCGCCCAGCTGTGCTGATGTATAACCGTACATCATTCACGTGGAGGTACATGCCCCATATCTTACTGCATTGAAGTGCAATGGACTCCGAGTGATACGTGTACAGGTACAGTGAAACCTGTCTAAGACGACCGCACAAGGGACCTTCCAAATGTGGTCTCTGTTACCAGGTGGTCTTCTTATCCAGGGTCATTTGACTGCAAATAACATCCCGTGGTCCTGGTTACAGTTCATGGTCTTCTGGGGTAGGTGGTCGCCTTACCGAGTGGTCGCCTTGACAGGTTTTACTGTACAGTATATCTAAATGATTCGTCTTTAGGTAAGCACTTGAATGATATGTAATTATTAGGTTTGCTGTGTAACACCACTACCGGTATGTGCAGTAAGGATAGAGATATTTCTCTACTTTCATACTTGAAGAAGCAAATGGATCCATTTTAAAGGACTTTCATTCAGGAGAGGCGATTTTCTGCTTCCCCGAAACTCTAGAACAAGGGAACACATACATTATACACAACACACACACGCACATACATACGCACACACACATACGCACACACCAGTGCACGCATCAGAGCATTGGACTCACCGCGGCACGGTACGTCTGCCGAACCGAGAATTTCCAAAGCGAAATCGGATACTCCTGCTCCGGCCTGCTACGCAGAAACTTTAGAAGGTCGGGTAAACAGAGTGCCAACGATGTGAAGCGGAACGCGTAAAAGATCACACGAATCTCTTGTTGTTCGTTCCGATGTGTGCAGTATTGATGTCGCCTCACTGCTACACACCTTAGTTCTCTTGGCTCATTGGACTGCTGTACTCAAAGTCGTGCTTCTAGATTACCTATGCTGGATGTGGAGCCTAGGTCTTCATTCAAACTTGGCTGCACGTATCTCTTTCAGTATTAAAACGTTACTAGTTTTCGTGATAGCTATTAATTTAACGTTAATGCAAATATCCAACGTAGGACGGCATCGCCTTAGTGCTATAGTATGTCCGTATGTTACATCTATAGGGCTATGGAATAACCAGCCCAACGTATATCAGATCGAGGGCAGAAAAACTCCAACCCTGTGCCTGAATGGCGTACATTCACATCCCCACGGAGGCTGTTGTCGGCCTTTACCCGATGAGGCGGCTGGCCAACCTAACTGTGTTGGGGCAATGTCTTTGTCAAGTCGTCAACCGCACACACATTGTGGGCATGTTTTCTTGCAGACAGTTTTCGTGAGTCGCCAAGGATCGATCAGCTCTTTTTAGAACCGATGGGTGCAGTTAGATCCAGAAATCTACGCATGATACATTTCGGACACCTTCGTAAACTGTCCCTTGACCCAGACTGTAGACAGAAACCAGGACGAGAACTGTAGCTCTGACTGATCGAGGTGACTATTCCTGGACTGTTGTAGCTTCAGTATGGCTTTTGATTGACTGTGACAAGCTAAGATGCGGATGACATACCTTGGAGGCATAGCTGTCACCACCTTGACATTGATAGACGAACACTGCTTTTCATTCTGGAGCAATGGATATGTACCCTGCCTGTGCTTCAGCGTAGGTGCCCAGATACACTAGCCTATAATTACCGCTTGTGCCTCTACGAATAACCCGGAAGAATGTTGTTACGGTTTAGCGAGGTTCATATTGGGAACAACAATTCCTTCGCCATGTTAAATGTCTGTTGATTGGTGAATTAATAATAGAGACGCATTGCTATTTTTACTGAGCCAGTCCAATGCAAAGAGATGCCAGGCCATTGGTATCTGCTGCACTCGTGAATGGAACAGCAAAAGACCAAGGTTCTACGGTTCCGCCTGTGGAACGTGATTCTCATAAGGGTTCTGATTATAGTAAGCGATTAGTGTCAGCCTAAGTTTGTCCACTAAAGAACCATCGCGTGCACCAGAGTCTGGAAACTGTCACCAGGTGGACGGAATGTTTGGCAAGCGGTGGAATTCTCCTGGCGGCATGCGCACCCACTGGCGCTGTTCGCCCACTGTGCGGCACTGGAAAGGGCAATGCCCTCGGCCACGTTCCACTTGGCACTCTCGCTGGCATGAAATTTCATTTTGGCAACTGAACGAATGATCTGTTCAGATGTCTCTTACGAAGTAGCAGAAACTGCTCTTTGGTCCAAGTTTGGAACATCTGTGGTGCACATGTTCGTCCTCCACTTGCAATGAATACTGATGTTCTGAAAGAGGTACAGGCAATCCATGCACACATTGTAACGCTATGCAGCTATGCTGCGATATCGATGTACATGATTGTACTGAAGACGTAAACTCTTCCGTTTTGACCTCGCACCTAGTGTACATGTTGCGAACGCAAAGTGGTCATTGGCTAGCCCAGCCATGTATTGCTTGGAATAAAATAAAAATAATAATAAATGTTGTGCATGACTAACAAGGCAAGTGGCGTATTTCAAGTATGTGTAGAATGTGTGTATTGCGCGATCGTGAACGCGTTATGACTGGCATTTACACATGACGGTGCTGTCAGCCGTTCGGTAGCGTGACAGACGGACAGCTGAGGCGAACGAGTGACAACTGTGCCAGCCAATGACTGACAATGTAATCCATCTATACAAACACGGTTATTTTAGCAGTCAGGATCCGAGCCCTTGGCTTGGATCTGTCGCCTACTCATCCGCATGGACATGTACAGTTTGCTCCACAGGTCGTTGAAGATAATGAAGTTCGTCTCGTTCATCACGGTTTGGGCATTCAACACAACCTATTAAAACCTACACTGTAGTTGCGCGATTGCACGTTTTTCGCGACAACTATTTGCCCAGGGTATTTTATGGAGTAGAACGTATATCCCCCGGCCACATGCTCTTGGCAATACATGTAATGGACCCCATGCAATCGTCAGGAGAGAGCCTATGGTGTGCGCCCAGGGCACAATGACGGACGGCTTGTGTCCGAGTGCAGTGCGGAGTTCTAACCTCAGCCAGGGCCGACAAAACCTTTTAATGCGTCAAATTGCTTGTGGTCGGATGCAAGCCTGCAGGAATGAATGCCGTGACAAGCGAAAGTTATGCTTATAGAACTGATCGACATGATACTGGAGATGCAAGATAGTGAAGAGGACACTAGTCCGCAGTTTTCGCCTGACCCAATGCCACCCAATGTCACCTAAGACCGTAAGAGGCCGGTTTACGGATGTTATCCCATTCCAGGGCTTCAAAGCCGGGAAGCAGGGTCAACAAGGTTGTGAGTTGAACTATTGTACTAGCAGTGGTCATGAATTCCTCCGAGTTGCGTGACCGAACGCAGAACTAATATAAAGGTGATGTTGTCTAGACGGGGCAGCAGATGGTGGTTAACCCGCCAGACATGACCCGAAGCCAATGCAGTTTATTTTTAGCTCTTCCTTATCATTCCAAGACGATGTCTGGAAGCAAGATAACTTGCTGTAGGCAATCACAACCGCGGTCAACGTTGCGTCCCTTCTTCTCTTCTTTCCTTGTACACATATGTGGCAGGGTAGGTAGGACTGATACCCAGGAAGGACGTTCATAAACGCCATCACGCCCAAGACACACGTTTCTAAACGTAAATAACGCACAGTACGGACGTTAATAAACACCATAATTCCCAGTACGGACATTTACATAACTTTAAAAACTCCATCATGCCCAGCACAGATGTTTATAAGCACCATGATGCCCAGGACTGACGTTTATAAACGCCATCATGCCCAGTACTCGGATTGTATACGTGTGCATGTACTGCATTGCAGGTGTTGTACTCATTGTTAAACGCGTAATCTCCACATACTGCATTCTAAAAACAAGAACAGAATTCGGAAAGGCCGGAATCGATCAAGCTTCGACGAGCGACCAGAAATTGTCTGGAAAGGATGCCCACAATCTGTGTTTGGTAAGCAAAGGTGACACCTCGCGCATTGCCTCTAGCTAGGGAACGTGCCTTCCAGGATATTTCAGAATTCGACAACAGCAATCCGAAATGCCACTTGGGATGCTGAGCCGATGTAGGCTAGGAGTACGAAGTCCACTGCTATCATAGGCACTAAAAAATTCGGCGATGCATTTGCGTGCGCATCCGAATTAACGTTGTACACACGCATACACTCCGGTGCAGGGAGCATTCTATTCGAGGTTCCACGACTGATCCTGAGTGTAGCAGAGACCCTCCTACGATACGCAGTTGTATGTTGGATGCTTTATGACCAGTAGTAGTACAGACGCTCTCCAGTGCCATTATCGATCGTACTTAGCCAGATTTGAATGAGCAAGACCACGACCCACTCAGTTCTGAGTGATCTAGAGCCCACAAAGCGAGAATGCAATTGTAGTACCTCATCACTAAATTTTGTTAGGTAAATACTCGACTACATGTACCCAAAAGACACTACTAATTGCAGTAAATTGACACCCTGCATCCTATGTTGGGTTTTGTTCATGCTTTGAAGTTTCCGGATAGTCAGTTCACTGGGGAGGACTCGATTTCGCTAAGAGGATTCCTGAAGTACCACACCATAACAGAGATAACAGTAAGTCCGGTGCGTTAGTGTGGTGGTGGTGGTGGTGATAGCAGACTTTTGCAGTGCTGGACGTAGTCGTTCCAATAATATTGGATAATATGGACTGAGTTCACGAGGGATTACATGGATGGTTAGAATCTAATTTTAGATGAATAGTAGACTTAGCAGTTTCGGGTCAACTGAGCTTCTATGCTGCACGATTATGAATATTGGTCGGAAGCAAAATCCTACCTACCCTATGGCTATGCCCCTATGGCCATGGCAAGGATAGACATCGTTGTAGAGCCTACATTCATTCATTACAGTCATGTACACTGCTGACAACTGAAATCCGACCCCCTGAGCGCCTGAGCGGTGCGCTCACATCGCAAAGAATGTGAACCCACCGCTCAGGGGTCGGATTTCAGTTGCCAGCACTGTGTAGGTCTTCAAAGTATACATACATGCGCCTACTTCATGCAAACATGAATAATCTAACAAGCAAGCGGGCGCTCTTTCATCTCAGCACGGAAGGTCAAAGTACACGTTTCTAAACAACATTACACTTTTTCTGTTGCAGTTGACCATGCAGAGCTCGAGAGGGTTGTTCTGCTTCTCTGAGAGTGCAGACCAGTCGATCTGGGATTGCCATTCGTTGTACCGGTACCTGTTACGCGTTGTGGGCAAAGGGTTCAGGTAGACTCCGAAGGTAGAATCTGTAGGACTGCAGATGTAGCTTTGGTTGGAAGTAATCCCCGGAGCGACAATGGTTTTATGGATAGCGAAGCACCTTTGATTCTAGGAAGTACTTTACCGTGTGATTTTGTCATCACTGGTCCGCGTCCTGGAAAGCGTTCCCTGGCCCAGAGGCAGAGGCCACGAGTGGCTCTCATGGCCGTAACTAACTTCGCTAGCGTTCCGTGTGCAAGTGACTCAGTGCGAACGCATAGAATGTGGGGTACTGAAGAGAAGGTATGGTCGTGTTTATCTTAGCCCGAAATTGTGATGAATACGAGCGCACAAAATATAATTTGCTGATTTATCTCATGTAAACAATAGTTTCAGAGACAAAACCTCAGTCACTGTCGCAGCAATGCATCGCAATCATTATCTCATGTGATTGGAATAATAATAACGAACAGCAGTACTTACTAGCATTCGGCGGAAACGATTATCGAAGACGTCTGGTGCTCCGAATGGGGCTCACTGGCCATCCAGTAGACACATGACTGGCCCTCGACTGCCATCTGGACTGGACTGGAGTACATGAGCAGTACTACAATGCTGGCAACTGAAATCCGACCCCCTTGCCGGCGCGGTGTGCCGGCAAGGGGGTCGGATTTCAGTTGCCAGCACTGTAGTAGGTCAAACCATCCACTGGGAAAACCTGCCAGAAAGCATGACTGCCCTGTCAATACACAGTGCTCCACGTATCCACCTCTCATCAGAGTCATCTATTGAGGAAGTAAAAAAATAAATAAAAAAGAGCTTGGAGTAGATAATCAAATTTCTGCTCGAGTAACACTACCGTACATTTTATAGCTTGCAGTGTAGCACGACAAGCCCCTCATGAGCTCATGTACAACTAGATGGACAAGGAGGCGTGAATCAGTGGTGCCATGCCGCAGTGAAAAAATCCTCCATGAGCTATTCAAAAAGCTCTCATCTCCAACACATGAGAGGAGCTATTCTTAGTTGATTTTTAAAATTAAAGGTGTTAGTCTCATTTCAGTCGCATGCATTCAAGTGGGATAAAAAATATGAATTTGGAACTTTCCGCACTGGGAACATAACATACCGGTACGTTTCATCCCTAGTCCTGTTTCTGCTGCTGGAGGGCTATAACATGTAGTGCTCATGGAGAAAATATTCCATTGTCCTATTGGAGCTCAACGGATGATGGTTGAATTTTGTGAAACACTGTTCGGGGAACAGGAAGTCGTGCTCTTGCAATTTTATCGATTGAAAATTAAGGCTTGGACTCCGGATCGCCATCGTGAGTCAGTCAAAGCTCAAGCTCAGCCTTTTGAAATCTTTTCCATCGCTAAAATATCTAGCGATCATGATGACCCATTGCCCGTCTGCGGTTTCCGTGCACACAGGATACGCTAGTGCGCGTGTGTGTGTGTGTGTGTGTGTGTGTATGTGTGTGTGTGTTTGTGTGTTATGCTTGAGGCATATTGAACACGTCCATAATTTGCTGCACAATTGTACAGTGGAACTCATTAAGTACCTACTCTGGTATAATACTCTTGCTTCGTACAGTGTCCCGTGCACATGTGTATTGATCCGTGCTGAAGTATGTTGGGTAGAAAGTACATGTACGTCGGATACTGAAATACACTTTCCTGCTGCCCGTAGTGTATCTCTTATCAGAGGTGTCTCCTGCAATACAATCGTATCCTGTCTTTGTGTAATTTAGATATGGAACGGTGGCACTCCTTCGCAGTCACTCTGCTCCTGGTTGCATCGCCGCTCTCGTTTGTACTCACGGCGACAGTTCAACGACAGCCTGCCGGGTCGCTGACCATAGAGGTGGATTCGCCGGACGACAGCGGAGCGCGGACACAGTATGAATCACCAGTCTCGCTGGAGAGTTACGAGCGCAAAAAGGACAACCCATACGAGCCAGCATGGTACAAATGTGCGAAAGCCACCGGTGAGATCCTGTTATGTGAATTGTTGCGCGGAATTAACGTGTTTTGATACCCACGTGAATTGCTTTGCCTGGGAATATCCAGTCCATTGCAGGGTTGGTTTGCTGGACAAAAGCAGAGAATGATGACTAATCCCTTTCTGCACACCTAATCGGTGCTGCGGTCTTGCCACGTGAAAGCTGTATGCATATATTCACCATCTGGCATAGTGCTATTGGCAAGCAAGTGCACTATGAATGCACTGATGAGCAGCGTTATTGTGTGAAAGGACTCATGCGGGTGGACTCAAAACGGGTACCTCTGTTAGCACTGCCCGTACTTCGTATTCAGATATTGATTGCTATGTGTTTCAAAACTCCTGTCATGACGATATTCAGGTACTGCGGATTTCACACTGCTGTCGGACCACTGGGCTGCCTGTTCTCTTCCCTTGCTTGCCACTGCAGGTGTTAATCTTCGGATGGAGATATTACCTGGCTGGGGATGGGACGCACTTACCTCCAACACGATGGGATTCATGCACGACATGACGTATGACCTTTGCCAGACGACACCAGATGGAAAGTACCTAATTCCCGATCAGATTCAGGCCGTGAAAATCAAATCCAGCGATGTAAGTAGAAGCTCCAATCGGACTACTTCACGGTTCTAGTTCTGACCCGGTGCCTCCCCCCCCCCCCACCCATCTTCCCCCCCCCCATGCCCTGCAGTCACACATTCACTAGAATGTACCGTATTTTCCGGAGTATA